CAGCATAGGTCTTCTGCCAACAAACTTCCTCACCTTTTATTCATCTGAAAAGTCTTTTCTTTCATAGTTAAAAGATAATTTTTTTTGTGGTACTGGGGCTTGAACTCGGGACCTTCACCTTGAGCCACTTGGCCAGCCTTTTTTTGTGAAGGGTCTTTTCAAGAAAGGGTCTCACAAACCATTTGCCTGGGGCTGGCTTTGAACAGAGAACCTCCTGACTTCTGCCTCTTGACTGGCTAGGATTACAGGCATGAGACACCAGTGTCCAGCAAGATAATTCTGTTGTGCACAGAATTCTGAATTTCTGTTTTTTAAATTTCAGCATCCATCCATCACCTCTGGCTTGCACTGTTTCTCCTAAGAAGTGTGCTGTAATTCTTATCATTATTCTTCTACATACAATGTGTCTTTTTTCCCTGGTCACCTCCAAGATTTTTATCTCTGGTTTTGTAGAAGTTTGAATATATTGCATTTAGGTACATTTTATTTGGGTATTTATCTTTGGGATTCTCTATGACTCTTGAATATTATTGTTTGATGTCTTTCATTATGTTTGGAAGATTCTCACCTCTTATCTCTTACAACATTTCTTTTGCTTATTCTTTCTCTGTTCTTCCAAGATTCCAATAATAAGCATGTTAAGCCATTTGATTTTGTACTGTAGTATTTGAATATTTTTTTTCTATTCTTTTTTCTCCTTGTGTTTCAAATTGGCTAATTTCTATTGATCCTATCTTGGAGGTAATTGATTGTTTCCTCAGAGGTGCCGGTTTTATTAATGGACTTGTAGATGGAGTTGTTCATTTTTTATACTGCTTTTTTTAAATTTATGTTTGGTGCTGGAGATTCAACCCCTGGCCTTGTGGATGCTAAGCATGTGCTCCTGTCTTTTTTTTTTTTTTTTTCCTAGCATTTCTCTGACTTTACAACTTCCATCTTTCTTTGAAATTTCCCATCTGTCCATGCATACTGCCCATCTTTCTCATTTGCTTCTTTAACATCATACTCCCAGCCATTTTTAAAGTCTCTCTCTGATAGTTCTAACATTAGGTCATCTCTAAGTTTGTTTGTTGATTTCTCTGTAACTTGGCAGGAGGTGGTTGCTATTTTCTTCTTCTTTGGTATTTCTTGTAATTTTGTATTGAATAACTAACAGTTCATGTGGTACAGTAAGAAAACAGTATTCATGCCTGAAAAGGAACACATCCTCTCCCAGTCAACTGTGGATGGAGATAATGGAGTTAAAAGGTAGGCTGGTGTTGGCTGTGACTAAGATTGCATTGATTGCACCACAAGCTTCACATTTCTTTATGGTTGGGTGGAGTCTGGAACACTGGAGGGTTTCCCAATGCTTGTGCTCCACCCTCAGTTCTCTATCTTCCCTGTATGCCAGGCAGGCACCTCACAGGCCATCTCTGTCCATGCTTTTGCCCCTCTGCCAGTGAGCAGCTGACAGCTCTTACTTGTTGCTTGGTGTTTTTGCTAGTCCTCTTTATCTTCAGTTTTAGCCAGTTTTTTTTTTTTTTTTTAATACCTGAACCCTAGGGGATGAGATTTTCTCAGTAACCTTGCCCTATTCTCTCTGCATGTGTGGCATGGTGTGTATGAGAAAGAATTCCCTGACCTCCTCCTTCTGCTTTTTTTTTTGGCAGCACTGGGGTTTAAACTCAGGGCCTCATGCTTGCTAGCCAGGTGGTCTACCACTTGAGCCACTCCATCAGTCCTTTTTTTGTGTTGGGTATTTTTAAGATAGGATCTTGCAAACTATTTGCCTAGGGCTGTGATACTTCTGATCTCTGCCTCCTGAGTAGGTAGGGTTCCAGGCTTGCGCCATCAGCAGCCAGTCCTCCTTCAGCTTTAAGAGACCTGTAAAAGGGTTGGGAAGGAATCCTGGGCTCAGTGTGGTCTCGTGTCCCTCGCCCAAGGGTAGGGCTCCCCTCTTATTCTCCTAGTAACAGTGTGTCTTTACCTTTTGCTCTGGGAGCAACAGTATTCGTTCTTCCTCTCCAGTGTCTGGCTTTTAGAAAAGAGTTGAGGCCTTCCCCCCATGGCTGCTGATACTGTTCTCTGTGCCTAGAGTTCTAAGGGGGGGTGGTGCACTTTTCAGTTCCAATCTTTCTCCTGAACACTTGCCAGTGGCCATAGAGAGAGACTGAGCAAGCCCAAGCTCCCCTGGCTTCTGTGACACCAGAGGTTCTTACACTTCCTGTAGCCCACACCAGACCCTTCATGACCCAGTTAAATCTTTGCTGCTTTCTGCATTCAGGCTTGAATACTCTGCCATGGTTGATGTGGTAGTCCACACATCCAGTTTCTGCTCATGAGGAATTGTACCTCCTTGGGTTTTAGGCTACTTATTTGACTTCCAACATCAGCTCAGTTCTTAGGTCCAGCTTTTTGGTTCAAGAAAAGTGAGTTTGCTGTTTGTTTGACTTTTTTCTCATTGTCAGTGAGGGAGCAATGCTCTTTCCAGAGTTTTGGATTCCAAGTAAAAGCAGATTTCCTACCTTTTGTTTTATATTAGTATTATAATTCCACTCTAACTGAGTTGCAAACAATTCCCCCTGTGATGGAAATATTACTGCTTTTGGTGCTGAGTCACATGTATGTAAAGCACATACTCTACCACTGAGGTACACTCACTAAGACCCCAGCAGGAAACTGTGTGTGTGTGTGTGTGTGTTACACAGGTCTTGTTAGGTTGCCTAGGCTGTCCTTGAACTCCTGGGCTCAAGCAATTCTCCTATCTCAGCCTTGAAAGAAATGGGATTTACAAGTACAGGTGTGAGCTATAGAACCTGGCTTGGGAAACATTTTTTTTGTTTGTTTTTTGAGTCAGGGTCTCGCTATGTAGCTCAGGCTGGCCCCGAACTCACAATTTCCTGCCTCATTCTACCAATGACAGTTGCAGGCCTGAAACTGTCATTCTTGACCTGGAAAATGTTACTTTAATGGTTGCATAATATTCCTTAATAACATGAGAGTGTGTTTGACAGAACTCATATTATCAGGCATTGTAATAGGCTTAATGTTTTATTTTTCCAAAAATAGAACATTTATTTACCCCAACCCACCTCCTATACTACTGGACTCTTCTTTCTTTGGAGAATTTTCGCTTGCTAACTCCATTGTGGTTCTAGTGGAGTTGCCAGCCACAGAACGTCATCAGCCTGGCCTGTTGATGAGAGGATGGCTCAGATCTTGCCTATCATAATATCCTGGCTGCAATGATTGATTCAGTAGTGAGCACATGAGAAAAGGAGCAAAAATTTTCTTCAAAAACATAGGTGAGCCCGGCACTGGCTCATACCTGTAATCCTAGCTACTTGAGAGGCTGAGATCAGGAGGATTGTGATTTGAGACCAGCCTTGGCAAATAATTCTCGAGATCCCATCTGCAAAATAACCAGAGCAAAATGGACTGAAGTTGTGATTCAAGTTTTAGAGCACCTGCTTTGCAAGTGTGAAGCTCTGTTAAAATCCCAGTCCCACCAAAAGAAAAAAAATGTGAAAAATTTTGTCAATTGAGGCTATAGATCTGAAGAATATGGATTGAGGACTCACAGCTGCCATCTTCCCCATCACTTTCAGGGCAGCCTGTGTGCAGTAGGAGAAAATAAGGCCAACCAGAGACCAGCAAGTGAGTCCTAACAGCAATGAGACTGTAATCCAGGAATAAAATCTTTGGAGTTCCTCTGGTTCCTTCAGTTCTTTTTTCATTCAGTCACCCTAATTACCAGAAACTCTCTTTTGTTTTGATATGAGTTGGTCACTGGTCCAGGAAAGCATCCTCGCTAATTTATATTCTAGGTGACTTCAAGGTTTTGCATTGCAAAAAGGTAACCGGAATTCTAGCCACAAGTCCAACCCTCCAGGGCTGCACATGTCAGGTCTGGCCACGTGTACCAGTGTGCCAAATAAAGAGACAAGTAGTGGTGAAAGGAATGAAAGGAGATTTATTAATGTGGCATGGGCCCTGTGTGAAGAAGAAGAGGCAAGGTAAACACATCTTCCCAAGATAGACATGGGCTTTAGGTTTAAATACTGGAATAAGTGGGGGTGGGCAGAGAGGTGTGCCTAAGTATTAAGCAGCCCAGGTCACAGGTGTGGTCTGGAGGTCAGAGGTGGTCCACTTGCTCATCATCTCAGGATTTGTCAGGCTGAGCCTTGGTATAAGAAAGTCATTCTTGCCTGGCAGGGGCAACTTAGTTACAGAATGTTTGTTCATCAGTCCTGTCCTTCCTGATTCCAAGGTGGCCACAAAGGGACTGCAGAGAGAATATCTCAGAGCAAAGGACACAAGTACAAGATGGAGGTAGGGATGTCAAGTTTTTATTCTGCTTTTAGTTGTGTTTGGACACTTGCAGGACCAGTGGAGGTATCAGTAATTTTCAGCAAAAGCAGCTAGGAAGTACCTGTTACAAGAACACTGGAGAAAACAATGTAGCCACAGCCCCTGCTCCTGTTCTTCCTGATGATACATACTCAGCAGTTGCTGAGTATGCATATCTTAAAGGCTCTTGATGTGTCTTGCAAAATCACCCTGAGAAAGGCTGTCCAACTTATTTATTTTCTAGGCCTGGATATGTCCGTCTGTATCCATACAATCACAACAACACTGAATAGTGTTGACTTTTAAAAATTCCCAAATTAGAAGTCTTCTGCTCTCCTGCTGATTCCGCCCCTAAATCTGTGTTCCTTGATAGAATAATCAAGGAGAATGGGAATTTGGAATGACACCAGAAAAAAACAAAAAAAAAAAAGGAGGAGCCTTTACTTCTATGAATACTCAGCTCTGGCTTTTCCCAAACTGGCATTATGGACTGGCAGAACCACTATGAGTGTTCCATTTGAGGAAGTGAGTGGTAGCCCTACCCAGTTCCATCACAGCCTGAGGCCCTGTAGCTGATTGGCCAGGGCTGCACACCTTACCTGGGTGTTAGGATATAAGCAAGGGGCAACAGGGGAACAGACATCTGGTTCCCGATCCTGAGGACAAAGATGTGGGTTCAGTTTCTTCTAGGAATATTGGCCCTGTTGCCAGGCAATACTGAAGGACAACACCGGTGAGTGCTGGGTGTTAGATTTGATTTAGGGTGGGTGGGTTCTTAGCCCATCTTTCTGAAGCATAAATAAACCTTTGGTTTAGTTTAATTTCTTTCTCATTTTTTCCTTTGTTTCCATTGATCTTTTACCTAGAGGGAAAAGTCAAGGCATCAAAAATCAGTGTAACAAAAAGGATCAATATTAAAATGTAGTGTACTCCGTGCACCCCATTCTCTGTGACAGACCCATTTTCTTCCTCTTTTTTTTGCTGTACTGGGATTTGAACTTAGGGCCTACACTCCTCCAGCCCTTTTTTGTGATAGGTTTTTTTATAGATAGGGTCTTGCAAACTATTTGTCTGGGCTGGCTTCAAACCAAAATCCTCCTGAGTAGCTTGGATTACAGACATGAACCACTGGTGCCCAGCTCCGTTTTCCTCTTAATTTACTCAGGCATAGGTTCTCAGTGGTGACCTCGTATGGGGAGGGGTGAGGGAGGAGGTAGGGCTGTGCACTGAGTTATTTGTTACCTGTTTTGCTTCTCCCCTGTAGAAAATAAGGTTCACAAAGGCGGGGGCTTGGTCTATTTCATTTACTGCTGAATGCTGAATGCTTCTGAGGAAAGTGCTTAGCTCTTCACTGAATGAAGGAATCCTGACTCTAAAATTCTTTTGTTCCCTTGATAGAAACTACCTGGTGACTTTACCAGCCCAGCTGAGCTTCCCCTCCACTCAGAAGGTTTGCTTGGATCTGAGCCCTGGGTACAGTGATGTAAAATTCACTGTTACTCTGGAGACCAAGGACAAGACCCAGAAGTTGCTAGAACATTCTGGATTGAAGAAGAGGCACTTACACTGCATGTCCTTTTCAGTAAGTGTACTCTTGGCCCTAACACTTGTCTCTTACTTTCCTGCTCTCATCCCAAGATAAATGACTTCTGTTGTCTGACTTTTGCCATGGCTTCTAGGCCTGTCTCCCCTAAACACTTCAGTTCATGATCTTAACTCACCCACACTTTGCTTGACCTTGGATTTCTTTCAGTTCCTGACCTTCACCTCTCACCCTCTTTTATCTTCCCTCAGTACCTCCATCTGACTCAGTTCTTTCCGTTGACTCTCCCAACGGAGAGAACTAATGGACTGGTTGAGACCAGTCCATTTGGGTCCCTCAGTTTCCTACTGCAACACCACAGAGGTCCCCTCTCTTGTCCAGGTTCCACCTCCTGCTGGTGGCACAGAAGAAGTGGCTACAGTCCGAGTGTCGGGAGTTGGAAATAACCTCAAGTTCGAGGAGAAGAAAAAGGTTCTAATTCAGAGGCAAAGGAGTGGTGTGTTTATACAGACTGACAAGCCTGTCTACACTCCAGGGCAGCGAGGTAAGACACACACCTTCCAGGACAGATGAGACTAAGAACAGCTGCACACAGTGGGGATGGGGGTGGTTTGGTGGTAGTCTTGGGGAACAAAGAGGGCAGAAGCAAGAGAGTCAGGTTCTGGCGTTGCACGTGTGTCCTGTCACATGTGCAAGAGGAGGGGATGGAGTTTCTCCTGCTGTGTGCATCTAAACCAGAAGCACACATATCTCCGAAGCACGGTGTGCAAGTGTACTTGGGTCATGGGTCTTACAGTAAGCTCCTTCCTTGTGGGTAAGAAACTATCAAGGCCTTGGCTTGAGCGCTGGTTTCTCCTTTACATCCTGAGGTCTCACAGTCAGGCCATGAATGGAACATGCTTGGCTTTCACCTTTACCCCTATGTGAGGCCTTATTCTGTTTGTTTTTAAACCAAAATCTGATGGGTTTTTGCTAACTCAGAAGTATGTGTGAGACAGAATGGTTGGAAGAAAGATCCAGAGAGGAGAAATCCTCTTGGTAACCATGCTTCTTCCTGTCTAGTGCTTTTCCGAATTGTCACCCTGAACAGCAACTTTGTTCCAGTGAATGACAAGGTGAGAATTTAGTTGGGAGGAGGGAAAGGGAAAGTAGGGATGACTGAGAGAAAACAGAAGAGAAGAGTTTCTATTCCAGGGGAAATGCTTAGGCCGATGGGTGAACACACAGGGAACAGAAGGGCTATAGCAGCATCAGGGGCCAGCCAAAGCCCTGCTGCCCTTCTGTGTAGGTCACTTCTCAGCCTTGAGATCAATCTGCATGTCAAGTAGGCTAGAGTTCTGAGTGATGGTTCCATTTGCTTTCATTTAAAAACTTTTTGCAGCTGGGCGCTGGTGGCTCATGCTTGGAATCCTAGCTACTCAGGAGGCAGAGATCAGGAGCTTTACATTTCAAAACTGGCCCGGGCAAATAGTTCAAGAGACCCTATCTCAAAAAAACCCTTCACAGAAAAGGGCTGATGGAGTGGCTCTAGTGGTAAGCACTTGCCTCACAAGTTCAAACACACACAAAAAAAGTTTTTGCAAACTTCTCTCCAGAAGAGATACCAAGTGGCTTTGCAGTTCAAATATTAAGAAATAGGGGCTGGGTGGTGGCTCAGTGCAGAGCATGTGTTTAGCACTGTCCCCAACACACACACACACACACGTACATGCACACACACAGACAGATTGAGATAGAGAAAGAGTGAGAGAGAAGTAGGAAAGAAAGGAAATAGAAATACATTTAACAAAATGAAAAATATATCCACTCCCACTGTCTTTTTATTACCACGAGTCAAGGTAATAGGTAATTTATAAAGTAGATAATTCTCTTAAGGCAACGTTAAGTGTATTATGTGAAAGGTAAAAATATAATAACACTTAGCAAGTACCCTTAACTTTTCTACTTTTAATCAGTTCTATTTTTAAAAAAGTTTTTATTAGCATAAATTAATTGCACAAAGGGGTTTCAATGTCATATTTCCATACATGCATATAATGTATTTTGATCAAATTCACCCCAGCTTTTCCTTGAACAGCGATTAGATCCTGAAAATCATGTCTTTTCTTCAGTCTTCTTTCTTTATTTTCAGTGGTGTTAGGGATGGAACCCAGGGCCTCGCCCACTTGCTCTACCTCTGAGCCACATCCCCAGGTATCACAAGTCTTAATAGTTAGGATCTCAGAATGACAGGCTAGTGTCATTTCTGCAAGCTTGCCTCTCACACATCCCTACTGCAGTCTTTCTCTTTCAGCCACAGCCTGTGAATCCAAGGGAAACTTAAACTCAGGAAGAGCAGTGTTTTCATGTTTCTGCTGTTCCCTTTCCCTGTATGCAGGGAAGCTAAGAGCTCGATATTGATGGGTGGCCTCCTCCATCCCTACTTCATTTCCCAATTTAGAATTCTTTTTGGTCTCTATTTTCCATCCCGTATCCCTTCTTTAGCAGGAGTTTGATATAATATCGAGCATTTATTTCATAACAGATTATTCATGGATCCTAGAGCTGCACAGGAAACACCCAGCCAGCGCTTAGACTCTACTGCCCCCTGAAGGTTGAGCCTCTTAACTACCCCTTCTCTGCTCAAATTATGTTGGATTGCACAGAGGGGCTATGATGTTTGTAATCCGGCTCTATTTCTATTGTAAAATTATTTCTCCTCCTCATTCCATTTATATATCCAGCCCCTCCATCCAAGTTCAGTTGGCATGCTGAGATGAACAAAAGGAGTTTTACCAAGAATCTGAGAGATTATCTCAGATATCTCAAATTATGAATTTGCAGAACATAACAGTTAAATCCTCAGACAACTAAAAAAATATCCAAGATGAGCTGATCCTGTCTACTTTGACTGCCCAGTTATTCAGACACCTCAGGCACTTCTAGTTGGGAATGCTACCTAGTTAGGTGAACATTATTTCCTGCCAGAGACTAATTCTGGTTAACTGATGTCTTTGTGAATTCTTTTTTTTTTGGTGTTACTGGGGTTTGATGAACTCAGGGCTTTGAGCTTCCTAGGCAGATGCTCTACCACTTGAGCCACTCCAGCAGCAAGCACCATGTGGGTTTTATTCTTCCGCCTTTCAAGTTAGACCCAAGCTGGTCTTTTTTGAATAGCTTGTACCTTCTCTGAGCTTCCCCCCACCCCCACAACTTAATTCTAGCTTTCTACCTCATCTAGTTATAAGCATAATGATCTGTTCCCCACCAACTTAGGGTTTTGTCATTCATTTAGCAACCATATTTTGGAAGAAACTATACATGATCCTTCAGTGGAGGGTTTTTAAAACAATCTTTTTCCAAAATTATTTTGCAGTGAGTGAAAGTAAGGTCCCTGTTCACAAGCTCTTAGGCAGCAAACGAAAGGCCAGGAAATGGTTGGCTCCCCAGAAGAGGTTTAAAAACTGGGAGCCTGGGGTGCTCACATTTTCCATAGGGTTATCTGCTGTAGAAGAGCACAGTCCTAGGGCACTTAGGGATGCTGGAGGGTCTGAGGCTTCATTTCTTCAAATCTTGTATAGACTGGCCATCCCTTTGAGCCACTTTATCTCTTCCCCTACATGATAAGTCTTACTCTTCTTGGGGCACAAAAGAGCCAGGTAGAAGGGAAGGAATGGCAGGAGAGAAAGGAAGAGTGCTTTGGGGATTTTTGCTTTTAATGAACTAAGTTTTATTGTATATCCTTCTATAACTGACCTTATCTGGCCTTCTTTTTCAGTACTCCGTGGTGGAACTACAGGTAAGTTGAAACTTCTTTTTTGTCTCTTGTCAGTTGTAGAGAAGGAAGAATAAGAATCTGGTGCTAAACCTTGAAGGTAGAAACAACTCTGAGATGTTGTCCGGCAATGCCAAGCCTCTGTCCCAGCACCAAGAACCTATAGTTCCACCCAAGCCATTTCTGTCTCTGGCCCCTGCATCCTCTCAGACCTAAACCTCCGTAAACAAGGACACCAGTCCCTAATTCCTGTGACTTCTCTGTGCTGTGCCAATTTAACCAGATGCAGTTTTCTGCTCTCTTGGTCTTGGTAATAATAGTTCTTGTCATAGACACTCAACAGTTAAATGGCCACGTGAATGAACACCTGTAAGATGTAACTCAGAGGAATGGGATGAGGAGAGTGAATTCCCAACAGTTTTCTCTCCATATTTCCCTTACATTACCTATCTTTCATTTCTTACAATCAATTCCCTCAGCCTTGTTCCTTAATAGGGACCAAAAATAGAGTAAGTAGTCCTAATAAGCGAGATTCTAAATCCTGCTCTCTGAAACTAGTAATAACACCTACAAGAACTCAGTCTGAATTCCCAAGGACTCTTTCTTCCCAATGGGGGCTGGATCTAGAGGAACATTTATCTTATTTGGTAATAAAGAAAAGCATAAATTTGATAGGGAGCTAGTTTCCTGGACACACGGCTCATGAACAATGGGTAGGACTTTCTATCTACTTTTTTGCAGTGCAGAGTGAGAAACAAACAGGTAGTTACATCATGCAGCTTCTTTTTATTGATGCAGGATCCCAATAGCAACAGGATTGCTCAGTGGCTGGAAGTGGTCCCTAAGCAAGGCATTGTAGACCTGTCCTTCCAACTGGCCCCGGAGGCAACACTGGGCACCTATACAGTGACAGTGGCTAAGGACAAGACCTTTGGCACTTTCAGTGTGGAGGAATATGGTAGGTGGGGAATTAGCAGGTCAAAGTGTTGGGCATAATCTTGTCTTAAAGTTAGCAAAGGTAACATAAAATCTACTCTGGGAAGGGATTATTTATTCTTATTGGGGTTTGAACTCAGACCTTGAACTTGCTTGGTAGGTCTGTACTATTTGAGCCACGCCCCAAGCCCTTTTTGCTTTTTGGTATTATTTTGAATATGGTCTCGTGGTTTGTGCCCTGGCTGACCTGGATCATGATTCTCCTACTTAGGCTTTCTCATGTGGCTGGGATGACAGCCTTTTTTTCCCCCTTGTTCTTTTTGTTGATTGCAACGGGGTCTTGGGAACTTTTTGCCTGGGCTGGCCTCAAGGTGTGAGCCATTGTACCCAACTTACTTATTCATTTTTTTATTATCATATTGCTGGTGTACTGGGATACATTGTGACATTTACAAAAGTGCTTTCAATACATCTTAGTTAAATCCACCCCCTCCATCATCCTCCTTTATCCCCTCCCCCTCATTTATTCATTTTTCAAATAAGAGTTAAACCAGTTAATAACTTCAAGACCATTTTATTTGAATAATACTTCATTAATTATATTAATTTGATCATCAGTTTGTCATTTTTATTATTTATTCAATTCTTTTTATTAGTGTATCAATTGCATTGCTTTTATACTCCTCTATTCACTCCCTAGCTCACCAAGTCCTCCTTTTGTCCCTTTTCCATGCCTCTTTCTACTCTCCTCAGTGTTACCCAAGTTTAAGGTGGAAGTATTGGAACCAAAGCAGTTATCGACAATGGAGGAATCTTTCCCTGTAAAAATATGTTGCAGGTAATAGAAGACGTTCTGGATCTGTGGAGATTAAAGCTGTAATGAGGGCTGGAGGTGTGTCTCATGTGGTACAGTGCTTTCTTAGCAAGCTCAAGGGCCTGAGTTCAAACCGCAGTACTGCCAAAAAAAAAAAAAAAAAGAAAAAAAGATTTAAGGTGATGAGGGAGAGGGGGATTATGGAGCAGGCTAGACCCTGGGATATTTTGTGTGGTTTGGAGTCATGACTCATCCAAGGACAATTTTATAATTATGTTTCTGCTCTTCCTTTCCATTGCTCAGTTGGCCAGTATTATTGAATGAATCTTTATTTGGATATAATGTTGAATATTATGGGAAAATACTAAGGGAGGAAGAAAAACACCATTTCATTCCTAAGGCTGGTGACCTTGTGTAGTGGAAATACTCTAGACTGAATGGAACAGGAAGGGGAAAGAAAGTCGGAACAAAGTAGGACAGTCAGAGCACTTTCTGAGGCTAGAGTTTGGGAGAGAGGAAGTGTGGTGTGTGGGCAGCAGGGCAGGATCTCAAGTGAAGCTTCCCAATTTTGACCCCTGGTACTTTTCTTGTCAGGTACACCTATGGAAAGCCCATGCGAGGGACAGTGCAGGTATCGGTGTGTCAGAAGGCATACACTTACTGGTTCCGAGAGGTGGAAGAGGAGAAGCCATCTGACAAGTGCAGGAATCTCTCTGGTCAGGTGAGCAACTGGACTGTAGCAAAGTGCCTTCTCCATATGTATTGCAAAGAAGACAAGAGCACCAATACAAAAGAGTGGTCAAGCCAAAGTGAAGAGCACTTCACAGGATTAATACTCCAGTTCCAAAGAACAAAACAGTGTTCTTGATCCTTAACAGATAGCGTCTCATTCTGCCCTGGAATAGGGAAATCAGCCTAAACCCTTGTCATATCCAGTTTTCTAGTTCTGTAGTTGATTCTTTCTCCTCTTCCTGTATTTTGGAGCTTCAGGGTTGTTTAATGGTTATGGATGTACAGTAGGGCAGCTTTTCTATGTCAAAGATACAGAATCTAAAATATGAAGGTAAAGTCTTCCTTCTATAATGCACTATGAAATGGAACTAAGAATTAGATTATTCATTTCTCTCTCTGTCTCTCTCATTGCATCACTAGACTGACAAATCAGGATGCTTCTCTTCATCTGTGGACATGGCCACCTTCAACCTCACTGGATATATGTACAGTCACAACATCAATATTGTGGCTTCAGTGGTGGAGGAAGGGACAGGTAAAAGAGGTGCTCCTTGGCTCACTAAGAAAAGAGAATGGGGGACTGGCAGCATGGCCCAAGTGGTAGAGTGCCTGTCTAGGCAAGCACAAAGCCCTGAGTTCAAACCTCAATAACATAAGGGAAAAAAAAAAAAAGAAAAGAGAAAGGAAAAGGGTTGTCCCAAGAACAGACCTACTCAGAGGATCCAGGATCTACCTCATTTGAAGGTACCATATTCTTAATTTCCCTGGGAAATCCCAGGGAACCCCCTCTCCTGCCCCCTACTATCTGTTGCTCCAAAGGTTTGGAGAGTTTGAGTTGGTTTGGGTCTTTGGCCAACAATATATTTAGTTTCATACTTTCAGAGGCATCATCCTCTCTGGGATTTTAGGTTCAACATGAAGGCGAGGATGTCAGGACTTAGATCATTACATGTCTGGTTTCCTTCTGCAGGAGTAGAGGCCAATACCACTCAGGAAGTCTACATTTCTTCAAAATTGGGATCAATGACCTTTGAAGATACCAATAACTTTTATTACCCCAATTTCCCCTTCAGTGGGAAGGTATGTTGAGATTTCAAGAAGTGCTTAAGCATTCATTTCTGCCTCCTTTCTATAGATGTACAGTAATGGCTTAATTTAGCCTTGTTCTAAGCGCTTTGTACATATTCACTTACTTAATCTTTACAATAATTTTATGAGGTATTTATAAATAGCCTCATTTTGCAAAACTGAGGCAAGAGAGGTTACGCTTAACCTCTCTTTTCCCTCCAAGATTATTCAGGTAGTAAGTGGCAAGCATGACCAAACCTAGAGAACCTGCATCCTGAGTAAATAGTCTTAACTCCTTATGCTTCCTTTAATCCCAGAGAACAAGTGCCTTGAACATCAATGTGATATTCTGGCCTTTCCCAATGTTAGTGCCCATCTTCTACTGTCCAATTCTTTGAATTTAAGAACTGCAATATTTCTGAAGAAATCTTATATGAGCTTCTGAATCTAGGTCTAGGCAAGGTCACTATCAAACTTTTCTTGACGGAGAGCCAGTTACAGGAATCTGCAGTGACTTCTAAATCTCCTTTGTTAGTGTCTTCTTCCTTATAGCCAACTGAAATTCCCCCTCCCTTCAGCTTTTCTTTCTTTACTTATCTAATGAATGGTCAGCATAATTACTTTGTACATATTTAGATCATTTGTTTCTTAGTCATCTTTTCTCTAGGTCAAGGGTGGATCTAGGATTTTTTTTTAGAGCCTAAAAATTATATAGTGTGGCAGGTGAAGAGAACTCTCTTTAGTAAATGAGAGCAAACTGGACATGCTGTGCACACCTGTAATCTCAGCACTCGAGAGACAGAGGGAGGAGGATTATGAGTTCAAGGCCCATCTGGGCTATATAGTGAAGGGCTCAAAAGCCTCATTATCAACATGGCAAACCTAGTTCTATGTTAGGCTGTTACTTCTGGGTGTTTTTTTTGTTCCTCAGAGATTCTATTTTCCATGTTTAACTCATATTTACCATTTTCTGAACTCATTCCTGAAATGTATTTTTGGAATTTCCATTATTTCTTCACTTTACCTTATACTCAAGCCGACACCTAACCTTGTTCTAAAGCCCCAATGACCTTCACCCCTCAGATAAGAGTTAGGGGCCACGATGAGTCCCTCCTCCAGAATCATCCAGTGTTCTTGGTGACTCATGGCATAAATGGAAGGATCAACCAGACGCTGATTACTGACAATGATGGCCTTGCTTCCTTCACACTGGATACAGTCGGTTGGAATGGGACAGACATTTCTCTGGAGGTAAGCACTAGGGAGGCAAGCTTCTTGGACAGGAAGGCATCATTGAAGGAAAACTTCAACATGCTATAGTTTTAAGCTGCCCCTTGACTTGTAATTCCATCTCCTTCATTCTCTAGTCCTCCTCCCCAGCTGACAAAAGTTTTTTCTTAGACTCTTTTTTTAATATTAATCAAATAATTCTTCAAATCAAAATGATTATGTCTACTTCTTCATTTTAAAACTGATCCCCACCTCTGTCAGTCTGTACATGAAATCAGGAGGAAAAATGGTTCAGGATCAAGTCTTCTTCCTGTTCCACCCCCACCATTACTTATAAAAATGACTGTGTTGGTCAGTTTTCCATCACTGTGAAAAAATACCTGAAATAATCAACATTAAAGGAAGAAAGGTTTATTTTGGGTCATAGTTTCAGAGTTCTCAGTTCATGGTTGCTTAGCTCTGTTGCTTTGGTCCTGTGGCAACCCAGTACATCATGGCAAAAGTGCATAAGAGAGTAGGGCTGTTCACCTAATGGTGGACAGGAAGCAAAAAGAGAGACAGGAAGGAACCAGGGTTCCAATATTTCCTTCCATGGCATGCCCTCCAGTGACCTAACTTTCTCCCAAGAGGCCCCACCTCTTAAAGGTTCCACCCACTTCCGAGTAGAACTACAGATTGGGAAACAAGCCTTCAACACAAGGGCCTTTGGAGGACATTGAAGACCCAAACCATAGCAATGGCCACCCAGAGAACTCTAGATTTTAGATAACCTATACAGAAGGTAACTTATATCCATTATAAACCTCCACAAACAGTAGCTGCTTACCAAACAGTCACCTGTCAGTATCATACAACAGAAAGCATTCATTGTTCATTCATCCATGGTGCTCAGGCATTTGGTACACTCTGTACTTGGTGGACTACTATGTCTGTGGGTTGGCCAGCTGTAAGCTGGTGCTCCATGTGCCTTGCCAAGTCATGTGGTGGGCCCACAGTCAGGCTAAGAGGGTATATACAATTACCTGGTAAAGAATATTGATGCAGGGAGTGTGAAGAATTGGAACCATTATGGTAGTCATTTTAATCATACTACTTAAGCACACACACACAGTTTGTCTTGTGGCTAATTTGGCTATTTCTTTATTCTAAGCATCACTCAATGACTTTACTCAGAAATAACTATTGTTCAATCTTATTATCTTCTATGTCAAGTTTTCCTATCCCTGAAACATAATCTTGGATTTCTATTTAATCTTGGTCATGTCTATTAATCTGAGAAGTATATCACCCACAATTTCCCATTTCTTGACAGCTAAAATTCAGCCCTCCTGTCATTCTCCTGTATATCAAAATGTTGCCACATATAACCACTTTGTGTATTGATTCCTCCTTATCCATCCTGGGCTGGACCTCAAATGAGATAGCCACAAGCCATTGTTAGGCAGTGAAGATTTGAAAGTACTCTATTTGGAAATCACAACACATCCATGGCATCAGTATGGTTGGAGTGCATGCTAAAAGAACTTCTTTCCTTTCAGGGAAAGTTTCAATTGGAAGATCTAGTTTATAATCCAGAAAAAGTACCCCATTACTACCAAAATGCCTACCTGCACCTGCAGCCCTTCTACAACACAACCCGCAGCTTCCTTGGCATCCAGCGACTCAATGGCCTGTTGGGATGTGGCCAGCCTCAGGAAGTGCTGGTGGATTATTACATTGACCCAGCTGATGCCAGCCCTGACCAAGAAGTTGTCTTTTCGTACTATGTGAGACTATGAACTGGGGATGGGTAAAAGGATTTGGGGAGGAAAGGGAAGGAGGAGAATCAGCCAGAGAAGATGGATGCATTGTCTAGATGATTGATGATAATTTCGAAATTTTAGAAGCTGCATTTAAAAAATTAAAAGACACTTAGGAAGTAGAAGCAGGAGGATCACAGTTTCAAGGCCAGCCTGAGCTACATAGTGAGTTCGAGGTGAATCTTGGCTACATAGTGAGGCCCTATCTCAAAAAACCCAAACTATGCCCGGTGCCAGTGGCTCGTGCCTATAATCCTAGCAACTCGGGAGGCCGAGATCAAGAGGATCACAACTCGAAGTCAGCACAGGCAAATAGTTTGTGAGACTGTCAAGGGTCTAGGTGCACCTCCTGGGCCCATGTATAACTCCCACAACTGCTGTGCTGCTCATTATTTTCTTTTCTTCCTTAGGTAATCGGGAAAGGGAGTTTGGCAATGGAGGGGCAGAAACACCTGAATCCTAAGAAGAAAGGTAAGAATCCTCTTCTATGACGTTCCAGAACACAGTTTATATGCATAGAAGCAATGAGATCAGAACACTAACAATACAATGAGAAGTAACTTGCGCCATGTGGTCTGTGACAGGCCCTCCAAGAAGTACAAGTTCACGTTCAGATGGCGTGGGTGGGTGGATTGGATGTGCAGCCCCATTCCCTGTATATTCTTCTCTTTCAGGTTCAAAAGGCTCCTTTTCTCTGTCACTGACCTTCACTTCCAGAGTAGCTCCTGCCCCGTCCCTTGTGGTCTATGCCATTTTTCCCAGTGGAGGTGTTGTAGCTGACAAAATTCAGTTCTCTGTAGAGATGTGCTTTGACAATCAGGTAAAATGGCGAGTGAGGAGGGTGAAGAAAAGAGCTGGGCTCAGAGAAGGAGCTTGTGTGTGCTGGGGTTGCAGACAGACAGGTTCAGGAAGTTGATTGCTACATTGTATTTACGTCTTTAATGTTTTAGATTTATGTTGAAATCTTTCCTGTTTCTTCTTTTTAAAGTCGTGTTCTATAAGTTATTCTACATACTCATTTTCTTTCAACTTTTTTTCTTCTAAACTTTCTGTTTCACTCTACTGGGCTGCTCACTCTTTTCACACCTGTCATAATGTACTAGGCCTAAAGAGTTAGATATTGCAAAGACAGATAAGTGAAAGAATGAGTTGGCTCCCATGGCTGAGGCATTTGAGCTTGATGAGCCAAGTCATCAGGCTGTCACACCCAAGGCACACCTTTCTCTTCCCCAGGTCTCCATTGGCTTCTCACCTTCCCAACAGCTGCCAGGAGGAGACGTGGAGCTACAGCTGCAGGCAGCTCCTGGGTCCCTGTGTGCAATCCGGGCCGTGGACGAGAGTGTCTTGCTACTCAGACCAGAGAGAGAGCTGAGCAACAGCTCTGTGCGTGGTCTGCAGCTGGGGCGGGGTGAGGGAGGTGATAGAGAGAACGATTTGACTTGCATAGAGCAAAAAGCCTCTGTGGGAAAGAATGTCTTAGGGAAATAACACTCCACCATAAAGTAGTAGACAAGTTGGTAACTCATGCCTGCAATCCCAGCTACTCAGGAGGCAGAGATCAGGAGGATCACAATTCGAAGCCAGCCCGGGCAAATTGTTCATGAGACACTATCTCAAAAATACCTAATACAAAAGAGGGCTGGTCAAGTGGCTCAGGTCGTAGAGCGTCTGCCTAGCAAGTGTGAAGCCCTGAGTTCAAATCCCAATACCACACCAAAAAAAAAGAAAAGAAAAGAAAGGAAAAACAGGTTTGGAAATGAAAGTAGAAGTGACGGTTTGTGAAGGCATAGTTAACATAGATATTGATAAGGAAAGAGGATGAAATAGGAGGTAGGATGATGAAAAAGGTGTGATAGAAGTTAAAATTTAAAATGTATGTAATGTTATTGTAATGGAATAAATATAAGAATAATTCTGGAATACTGAAGAGAAATAATGAAGTAGTGTGCTGAGGCACCAGAATCAAGAGAAGTTTCTCAGTTGGCTTCATTGTGTTAGTCCTTGGGTTTTTTCTTATTTCAGGTCTATGGGATGTTTCCTTTCTGGTATGGTCACTATCCCTACCAAGTGGCTGAATATGATGAGTGTCCTGACTTTGGCCTATGGGACTTTCCTCAACCCCTCACTGAGCGGGCACCTGGAGGGCGTGTGAGCAAGCCTTCTATCATCTGGAGACCCTGGTTCTCAAGAAGCACAGACCTTTTCAGTTTTTTCCAGGTAGATGCTCTTACCACTTGTTCTTATGCAAACGATGGTGGAGGGAAGGAGGAAAGGAAAATCCGTATCACAGAAGGCAGACAGACTTGTAGGCACTGATTGGGAGAAAATATCGGAAGCAGTGTCTGATGCGTGAGGGAGACTCTGTTGGCTTTTCTTCTTGAAGACGTTGACTAGTTGTGTTGGATGAGAACCCCTGTGAGAGGCTATATACCTAGTGCTCTTTCTGTGTCCCCAAACATTGACTTCCATGGGATCAGGCAGAAAAGGACACTAGGAAGGTAAACCAACTATCTGTTATCTTATTATAAAAAATATTCCATCACTTTATGAGCAGGGACTTGAGACATTGTGATCCGATCTGACCAGGAAATATCTGATCACATCTTCGTCATCTTTGTATTCTCTCTTAATGCTTGGCTGTTCATGATGACTGTTATATTTTTGTTGAACTGATCAAGTTGATATGGTCCCTGCCCTCAGAAAATTCAGAACCTAGTCAGGTGCCAGTGATTCACACCTTTAATCCTTGCTATTCAGGAGGCAGAGATCAGGATGATCACAGTTCAAAGCCAGCCCAGACAAATGGTTTGTGAGACCCTATTTTTCAGGTTTTTTTATCCTGAAAAAAAAAAAAATCACAAAAAAGTGCTGGTGGAGTGGCCCTGAGTTCAAGCCTCAACAATGCAAAAATAATAATAATAATAATAAAAGAAAATTCAGAACCTAAGTCAAATAGTAAGAACACTATAAGTGACTAAAATTTGGAAGAAGCATTAAACATATTTTTTACAAACTCAGGAATGGGCTAGTTAGTTCTCACTAGCCACATTCAAATCCTACACAACTTGATTTTACTTTGTGGTGCTAGGGGTCAATTCCAAGGCCTTGTGTATGATATAGTCTTTATCACTGAGCTACACCCCTAACCAGAAGTGAACTGATCCTGGTGAATGAGGTAAATGAGACCACTAGTCTTACTATCAACAAGAAAGGAGTATTTTGGTTCAAACCTTTGAGGATGGAATTCTGTGGCAGTAGGTCCTATAGTAGGGGAAGGACTGCCCTACTCTTGTCTCTTTGGTGCTCTCAGGACATGGGCTTGAAAATAATGTCGAATGCCAAAATCAAGAAGCCCCTAGATTGTAGTCACAGATCTCCAGAATACAGCACTGCCATGGATGGAGGTAAGCTACCTCTGTGGTCTGTGGATCCTCTGAGATGCTCACAGCCATGGAACTCTGCAAACTTCCTTTATGCCTCTTGTTCTTTCCTTGACCCTCTTGCCTTAGATTGTAAATGGGTCATGAGTCATAGATGGAGGAAGTTTCTTAAGTCTCTCTCTCTCTCTCTCTCTCTCTCTAGGAAGGGCTTTTGAAACCCAAAGCCATTATCTGTTCATTTTCTGGCCAAAGGTCATTATCCCCTGATGGCATTTGTGACCAGTCATCTCCTCAGTGGTCCTTCTTCCTTGTCTCTGGTTGAATGTTCCCTGCTTTCCTCTGAACTTGTTTCTAGTAGTTTATCTCAGAATGAGTCTTCTGTTTTCCAAAATTCTTTTATTCTTAGCCTCATCAGCAGGTGGCGGTATTTCTCCAAATGCTAAGTTTTCATCTCCATCACTCCAGTCAGAGGGATCTCAGGTCCGCCAGTACTTTCCAGAAACCTGGCTCTGGGATCTGTCTCCTATTGGGTAAGTGATGAATCAAGATTGCAGTGGGATAATACAGTAAGGAGTCCACAGAAAACTCTTTCTAATGAACCTAAATCACAAGCCAAGAAAGTATGATGGGGCATGGGAGCGTATCTCTTCTGATTTCTCATACAGTAATATACAATTACTCAGAAAAACTCACGCCTCTTCACATCTACACAATGCTGACTGTTTTCTCACTCCAGATCCACACAAATTCAAGGCACATCTTGACTTTAGCTCTTGCCCACTGCTTATGTGTCCATTTTGACCGGGTCCAAGCACATACATCCTCACAGATTCAGGGGAGTGTCAACCTCCCTTTCACATGTCCGCCCATAAACACCCCTCCACTGTCACCTCCTTCTCTCACTCAGCTGAGTACTTGCACTGAGATTCATGGAGTTGCCTCTCCTTCTCCCCATATGACCACAAAGATGCTCTTCTACAGATGAATTCACAAAGGCTCTCTTTCTCCTGTGCTGCCTTGCCTCACGTGGGTTCTTGTGTTTTCATAGCAACTCAGGGAAGGAGGCAGTCCACATCACAGTTCCTGATACCATCACCGAGTGGAAGGCTATGATGTTCTGCACCTCTCAGTCCAGAGGCTTCGGTCTTTCCCCCACTGTTGGACTAACTACTTTCAAGCCGTTCTTTGTTGATCTGACACTCCCTTACTCAGTAGTTCGTGGAGAGTCCTTTCGCCTTACTGCTACCATCTTCAATTATCTAAAGGACTGTATCCGGGTGAGAGCCGGGATATAGGAAGTAGATGCAGCCCTGGAACCATACCACCCCCCTAAGTCTGTCCCTAAATTGGTAGCATAACAGTTTCCATGGGGGAGAGATGTGATGTTGGTGCACCAGTTCCCAAGTTTCTGGAGACTTCTGGAAGCTCTCTCCTCCACTCAGTCTCTTTATCTCTCAAACTTCTTTTCCAGGTTCAGACTAACCTGGCTGAATCAGATGAATACCAGGTGGAATCGCTGGCAGGCTGCCAGGCCTCCACCTGCGTCTGTGCAGACGAAGCCCAAACCTGTTACTGGAATATCACAGCTACCAAACTGGGTATGAGTGGGGAGTGGCAGATGAACAAGGAAGACCTAGAACGAAAGCTGAGCATCAGAAATCTGTCCTTTCCTCTTCTGTGTGTGCTTGTTTCCACCTTCCTCTTCCTTTCATTTGTCTCTACTCTTTCCCTCCTAAGTAAATAAGCAAAGACTCTGATAGGTGTCCAGATAAATTTACCCAAAGTAGAATATTTTGAGTATGAAAGGTAGGACAAGGGAATATGTGGTCATGTAACTTATCACAGGGCAGGCGCTATTCTAAATGCTTTAATTAAGTCATTTAATCATCACACCAGCCCCATAAAACGGCAGACACTCATGGAGACAATGCCTGCAACTCAAAGTACATCTTTGAAGTATTAGTTCTCTACTGTTACATAATGAGTAAAACTTGGTGGACTGCAAGAATGAACATTTATTAGCATAGTTTCTGTCTGTTGGTCATCTATGTGCAGCTTAGCTGGACACCTGTAGTCAAGGTCTTCCGTAAACTTGCCTGCCAGCCAGGGCTGTGGTCTCATTTGAAGACTCAAGTAGGAGTTCATTTCAGAGCCTCTGGTTCTCACAGGCTGTTAGACTGAGGACTACAGTTCTTGGCCTCAGCTGTTAGCTGGAGTCCTCACTCTATCTCATCATGCGAGTCCCTCTAATGGGCTGCCTCATCACATCACAGCTATCTTTTCCCCAAGCAAATGGTTTGAAAGAGTGCACCACAATACAGAATCTTTGGTCTTTTTATAGCCCAGCATCAAAAGACACTTCTTGAACTGGGCACCTGTGGCTTACGCCTGTTATCCTAGCTACCTGGGAGGTTGAGATCAGAAGGATCATCATTTGAAGCCAGCCCAGGCAAACATATCACAAGACCCCATCTCCAAAATAACCTGAGCAAAATGGAGTAGAGGTGTAGCTTAAGTGGTAGAGTGCCTGTTTTGGAAGTATGAAGCCCTGAGTTCAAATCCCAATTTTACTGAGAGAAAGAGACAGAGAGAGAGAGAGACAGACACACAGACACACACACACACACACACACACACAGAGGAGAGAGCTCATTACTTCTGCTTACTTGGACTGGGGGCGTAGCTCAGTGGTAGGGCACTTGCTCAGCATATGTGAGGCCCTGGGTTTTATATCCATCACCAAAAGCAAAACAAAAGCAAAAACTCTCCCAGTGGAGCTGGGGCCATGCCTCAAGTGGTAGAGCACCTGCTTAGAAAGCATGAGGTCCTGCGTTCAAACCCCAGTAATGCCAGCAACAAAACAAAACTCCCAGAAAACTGTTCTCCCCATCAGAAAACAAAAACTGTCTCACTCAATTCAGCCTACATTCAACAGGAAGGCATTGTACAGGATGTTAAGTATTAGGAAGCAGGAATCTTTGGTGTTCACCTACCACACTGAACCGGCGTTATCTGTATCACTTGAGAGCTTGTTAGAAATGCAGAATACAGGTCCCATGCCAGGCCTCTTGGATTAGCATTTGCATGTGGCAAGATCTCCACATGACATGCATGCCATGAAAGTTTAAGAAACACTAAAGGGACAAAGACTTCATTGGTTCCTGTGTCACTGGGGCTAATGCCTTCTGTTCTTTCTCTTTAGGACATGTTAACTTCACCATTAGTACTAAGATTCTGGACAGCAATGAACTCTGTGGGGGAAAGAAAGGGTTTGTCCCAGAAAAGGGTCGGAGCGACACACTTATCAAACCAGTTCTTGTCAAGGTGAGTGTCCTCCAGGCTAATGTCAGAGACAGAGACAACAACTGATGCTGGGACGCCCAGGGTCTCACCTTGCTAGTTGGTCTCATAGCCCTCTTACTTCACCTCCAATCAGGTAACTCCAGCTTTCTCCTTTCCTGACCCCTTCTGTCCTTAATCATTTGCTTAACCTGTACCCATAGCCTCTGAAAGTAGTAATGCATTGCCTGGCACCTTATAGACACTCCATAACTGTTAGTTTCCCTTATTAGAATATGACTTCATCATAAGCTGCTTTTTTTTTTTAACCCATCATAAACCCCATTGTTAATCTTTCCTCTCACACATTTCCTAAGCTCTATGTTTTGCCCAGAAAGAATCTCACAGAAAGGGTCTATGCCTGGGTGGAAAAAGTCCTTCTGACCTTCAAAGAAATTCTCCCTATCCTGAGTTCTGAAGGAAGTTCTGGGGGCATAGAAAGGGAACTTCTTTTCCCCCCTCCTATTCCTTCTGTGCCATCCTCCCTGACATTCATCTCCATTGTTTATCCTGCCCTATTGCCTTTCGTGCCAGCCTGAGGGAGTCCTAGTGGAGAAGACTCACAGTTCATTGCTGTGCCCAAAAGGTGAGTGGATTCAAAGGGTGTGGGTACCCTTAGGCAATGGGGGATTGTTATAGGTAAAAGGTGGAATGTGCAGGACAAAGGGAGTTGAGGATGCCATCCTTCCTAGGGCCAAGGAACAGAGGGGCAGGATGAAGAAATTCCAAGAAAGACACTATGACTCCTTGGAATTTGTTTTCAGTAAAGATCACTATGAATTGGCTAAAGAAAATCTGCCTCCATCCTGCAGAAAGCCCTGCGTACAGAAAACCCGAGACTATAGAATAGGTTTTGGTGGCTTGAGAGCCCCCATGATTTCCACCTTGTATTACATCATCTTTTCTCTGATGGGCACAGGAAAGGTGGCTTTAGAATCCATCTCCCTGGAGCTTCCTGTGGGTGTTGTTCCTGATTCTGCCAAGGCTTATGTTACTGCTCTGGGTAAGCAGATAATTATTCTTGCTCAAAAAGGAAAACAAGGAATGGAGACAGCAAAGGTGGAGTGGGGAGGACTTACAGACCTGTGGAAAGGAAAGTGTACCTGATGAGAAAGGAGGAAGCAAATACAGTACATAGTTAACTGTGCAAGTGAGATTCCATGTCTAGTCAAAAACAGACAGAAATGTAGGCAGGAGGAAGCTCAAAGTCACGGAAGCCTGAAATGCATTTAGATTTAGATTGTGTATAAAGTGGGTGGAGAGGAGATGAAATGGTTGCAACAGCTATTTAAAAAAATTAGAAGTTTGAGTGCAGTGTAACCATATTCACAAAGTCAGCAACACTTCACCCCTTTGGGCAAGGAGAAGAAGGGAGTAGACAAGCATGAACTTGAAGGTCACATTTAATCTGCTACTGAATTGCTGTGCAACCCTGAACAAGTTAGTAAACAATTCCCATTCTTCTTTCACCTTCTGTGAAACAGTGATAGCAATCTATCTCTTAGGACTGGCATAAAGATTAAATGCAATACAACGTTGCCAGAACAATAGCTAGCACTTTCAGGAACCCATTGAATGTTCAGTTCTTTTTTTATTTTTTTTTTGTTTTCACCCCATACCAAGATCCCCTGCATGTAAGTTTCTCTATTTTGACTGTATTTTATTTGTAACTCTGATATCATACTCATCTTATTGTGGCATAGCTCACTATTTCTGTCTTCCACACTGGGTTGTAAACCCCTTGAGAACAAGGTTCACATGTTCAATACATATTTTGTAGATTTGAATTGAACTCAGTGTCTAAAAAAGCATATATTAATGAGTCACCATGTCAGGTTTACTGGTTTACAGACTATATGGAGGGATCGGTAGACATAACTTGGAGAAGAGTATCAGAAATGCGTGTGTCTCAAAGGGATGAAGGGGTTTGGGGGATGATGATATTATATATAGGGGAGGAACTCAGATACCAAATCTAAGCATGACAGGTTTTATTACATCATTTATCAGCTCCAATGGTCTGTCCTCTTAAAAGACCTGAACTCTTTCTTTTTTTAATTTTTATTTTTTATTATTCATATGTGCATACAATGCTTGGGTCATTTCTCCCCCCTGCCCCCACCCCCTCCCTTACCACCCACTCCGCCCCCTCCCTCTCCCCCCCACCCCCTCAATACCCAGCAGAAACTATTTTGCCCTTATCTCTAATTTTGTTGAAGAGAGAATATAAGCAATAATAGGGAGGAACAAGGGTTTTTGCTAGTTGAGATAAGGATAGCTATACAGGGAGTTGACTTGCATTGATTTCCTGTACATGTGTGTTACCTTTTAAGTTAATTCTTCTTGAACTAACCTTTTCTCTAGTTCCTGGTCCCCTTCTCCTATTGGCCTCAGTTGCTTTTAAGGTATCTGCTTTAGTTTCTCTGCGTTGAGGGCAACAAATGCTAGCTAATTTTTTAGGTGTCTTACCTATCCTCATATCTCCCTTGTGTGCACTCGCTTTTATCTTCTGATCAAAGCCCAATCCCCTTGTTGTGTTTGCCCTTGATCTAATGTCCGCATATGAGGGAGAACATATGATTTTTGGTCTTTTGGGCCAGGCTAACCTCACTCAGAATGATGTTCTCCAATTCCATCCATTTACCAGCGAATGATAACATTTCATTCTTCTTCATGGCTGCATAAAATTCCATTGTGTATAGATACCACATTTAAAAGACCTGAACTCTAAGTGGCGTATATCCAGTACTTCCTACATACCCAGTACTATCATATTATATCAAAATTATTTGTAATAAATATGACTGTATTGTTGTTTGCCCCTCTGAATGTGAGCCCTTGAAAGGTATGAAGTATGTTTGACTTATTGTTGTCTTCCTAGGAACAGATTAGGTGCTCACTAAATGATAGCTAATATATGGCTATAAATGAATGATAATTAATAACACTAAGGATTCCTTCTTCTCTCAACCATCCCCTACTTTCTTTCTCCTTTTGGATCCCAGGAGACATCATGGGCACAGCTCTGCAGAACCTAGACAGCTTGGTGCAGATGCCCAGTGGATGTGGGGAGCAGAATATGGTCTTTTTCGCCCCCATCATCTATGTCTTGCAATACCTGGAAGAGACAGGGCTGCTCACTAAGGAGATCATGTCTCGGGCAGTGGGCTTTCTGGAGATAGGTAAGTTGGCTCAATCTTTCTTTCTTGGATCCACTTTTCCTCTAGGGCCTTTGATAGGCTGATAAGATACCAGGGAGTCACAGTCCCTGAAGTGTCCCATGTTTTTGAAAGGCTTGGGGATGTTTTTTGAAGTTGTCACTGAAATCTAAAACCATATGTGGTTTCTCAGGATACCAGAAGGAGCTGATGTACAAACACAGCAATGGCTCATACAGTGCCTTTGGGGAACAGGATGGAAATGGCAACACGTGGTAAGATTTCCCTCTTTCTTAATGAGTTCTATACTCCAGACCATCATTCCTGACCCTCGGAACTATCCTCTACCTCTCCGCATGACCTTGTTCTTTCTCGCACTCAGACTTCTACCTCTTCAATACTATTTAGTTTCGCCTCCTATGTGGTCAAGTATGTCATTGTTTTACCGGAATTTGTTGCCCACGACCTATGTGGGTATACTGCATGAACCTAAGAGTGGCGGGGAATGAGAAATAAGACACACACAGACATACAGACATACAACAGAAAAGCTGGGATCAGGAGGGCTGCACGTTCCTGATGGGAAACGTGAGCGCCTACCTGAGCCAGTGTGTTTATTTTATTAAGTCAGTACAAGGAAAAGACTCAGGTAAAAATCAAGCTTTAACAATTCTTGATGCAAGGTGAAAGGAATGAGGTCTGGTGGGCTAATTTTCCTAAGGCTATAGAAGCTTAATTACAGCACATCAGTTCTGGAATCATCACAGCACTCAGGACACCTTGTCTAAGGTATTGATGAATCTGGCATCAGGGAGTCTCCTAAGAGTTCTGGTACTTTATCTAGGTTTGCATCAGGGGGATGGTATGTGGACACAGCAGGTTGTATTCTTCAAGGAGGTATAAGAACGAAGGTCAAGACACCAGGTACTGGGAAAAGTATGGTAGAAGAGGCTGTGCAAACTTCTACCATAGAGAGGCTGTGCAGGCTTCATTATATCCCAGTCCAAGGTTCGTGCCTCGTCTCCAACACCTTGTGTCTCCCCATTTCTCCCTTCCCGAGGCTCCTATGGCACTGGGTCCTCGACTTCTTTTCCAGAACTAAATCCAGAATAAGCTGTGGAATTATGCTCCCTCAGCTGGAGATCCCCCTTCCTGCCGCATTTTCCTCTTTACCCATGTAGGCTGACAGCTTTTGTCACAAAATGTTTTGGTCAAGCTCGGAGACTCATTTTGATTGATGACAAGAACATCCAGGATGCTCTCAAGTGGATGGCCGGAAACCAGCTCCCCAGTGGCTGCTATGCCAACGTGGGAAAGCTCCTCCATACAGCTATGAAGGTGAGAATCCATCCAGGGACTTGGAGCCCCACTGTGTCTGGAAACAACCCATACCTCTCACTGAGCAGAATCAAAAAAGCACTGGCATGGGAGTCAGTTTTCTTCAGTTCTCAGCCCTGGCTGGGGGTGACCTTGGTCAATGTATTTACCAGTCTGTGTCTCCTGGCTTTCATGTCTGTAGAATAAGAATGGTTCTCAAAGTGTGATCATCAGGTTAAAGTCAAAGGCATCAGTATCACCTGGAATTCATTTAAAATGCAAATTCTGGCTCCTACCCCAGACCCAGTGAATGGAACTCTAGGAGAGTGAGAAATGTGTGTTTTTCTTTCTCTTTTTTTGGGGGGGTTGGGTTGCTGGAGTTTGAACTCAGGACTTCAAGCCTGCAAAGCAGGCACTTCACTGCTTGAGCCACACCTCCAGTCTATTTTGCTCTGGTTATTTTGGAGATGGGGTCTTGAGAACTATTTGCCCATGTCAGCCTTAAACCACAATCCTCCTGATCTCATCCTCCCAAGTAGCTAGGATTACAGGTGTAAGTCACAGGCACTCAACCAATTTGTTTTAACCAGGCCTCCAGATGATTCTGATTTCAGACCACTGGCCTAGAAAATCTCTGGGCCTGTCACTATCTCCCCAAGCCCAAAGCAAAACCATCTCCTGTGGTAGAGACTAGCAGGCAGTGTATTTGGTTATTTGACATTATTTAATGTTTACAACAAATCAGTGAGCTAGGTGTTAATATAACATTATTAATCTCAATTTACAGTGGAAGAAGCTAGGGCACAGAGACTCAGTAAACTGTCCAAGGCTCATAGTAATAAATGGCAAGACTGAGATTTGAACCATGTCTGGTAGGCTCCAGAGGCACTGCTGTTGCCCACTTAGTGCTTTGCCTCTACCCTCCCCAACACAGGGGGAGGCGTGGATGCTGCAGGATAATGTGCTCATTTCAGAAAATACCTAGTTGGACTGGAGGTGTGGCTCACGTGGTAAACTGCCTGTTTTGCAAGCATGAAGCGCTGAGTTCAAACCCCAGTCCCACAAAAACAAAAATAGTTCAGTCTGGGTACCTGTGGCTCATGCCTATAATCCTAGCTATTCAAGAGGCAGAGATCAGGAGGATCACACGGCTCAAGGCCAGCCAGGGCAAATAGTTTTGTGAGACCATGTCTCAAAAATACCCAATGTAAAACAGGGCTGATGGAGTGGCTCAAGTGGTAGAGCGCCTGCCTAGCAAGTATGAAGCCCTGAGTTCAAACCCCAGTACCACATGCACACACCAAAAAGGTGAGCAATGAAATAAAATCTCTGTGTAGGATTCATTAGTACTCTGCGTGTAGATCTTACCAGTCTTCTTCTTTTATATACTGTGTGGTTATAAGATTTCTGCCACTGTGATGGAATATCTGAGATAACCCTTTCCTGATAAGGAAGAAAGGTTTATTTTGGCTCATAGTTTCAGAAGGTTCAGTCCATTGTCACTGGGCCTGTGACAGCCCAGTACATCAGGGTAGGAGTGCATGGCGGAGGAGGACTGTTCACCTCATGGTGGTCAGAAAGTAAACAGAGAGACAGAAAAGAGCTGGGATCCCAGTGTCACTTTCTAGGGCATTACCTCCAATGGTGTAACTTTTTCCCACTAGGCTCCACCTCCTAAGGGTTCCACCATCTCCCAGTAGTGCCACAGGCTAGTGGCCAAGCCTTTAGGGAATGCTCTAGCCTACTGCTTGACTAGAACAAGATGACAGAGGTTTTTCCTCCTCCTTTCTTACCACAACCAGCCAGTTCATTAAGAAATCCATCACTGTGTCATCAGGTTTAGTGATTTGGCACAGGAGCCACAATTAAATTCCCTGGCTTCAAATCCTTGTCCTGCTGCATATCAGCTCTGCAAAATTGAATGACCTATTTAATCCTTTTTTAAGTGTTTATTTTCATACATATATATAAATAAGTATAATTCAGCTTAGTTTTTCAAACTTGCTAATATCTTCCTGGGAACGGTACTAAACAGGGAAGGTCTTACTTAATCTCCCTTGGAGAAGGGGGCTGGGCTTTGTGCTCCCTGAGGAGAGATTCGTGCGAAGAGGCTCAGTCAGCAACATGGCAGAGATTCTCTCCTTATTCCTCTCTTTTTAAAACCTCTAATCCTTTTTTTTTCCCACCATGGTGCTGGGGTTTGAACTCAGGGCCTCATGCTTGCTATGCAGGCACTCTACAAGTTGAGTCACTCCACCAGCTCTTCCTTGTGTTGGGCATTTTCGAGATAGGGTCTTGTGAACTATTTGCCTGGGCTGACTTCAAACCACCACCCTCCTGATCTCTGCCTACTGAGTAGGTAGGATTACAGTCATCAGCTGGCATCTCTAATCCTTCCAACTCCTCCTCTTGGATTTCCTAAATGCACAAGCTGAAAACCTCATGCCGCCTCTTATAGCCTCTGCTGAAGTTCACCCTCTTATCCCTCACTGTGTGTCCTGCAGGGTTAGGGTTGCAGAAAGCCTGCAAAAAGGGACACATTCTAAAGCAATATTTATACATTTTGCAGTCTTCACGTAATTCTTTCAGGTGCTGGCTGCTGCTCTAACCTACTGTCTGCCTCTTTCTCCCTAGGGTGGTGTTGATGACGAGGTTCCTTGACTGCATATATCACAGCAGCATTGCTGGAGATGGGAAAGACCAGTCGTGTGAGTTTTTCCAGCTTCTCCTCTTTACTCTCTTCTTATCAGGCCTCTGCCTACAGGCCTGCACCCATTTGTGTCCTTATCCAACCTTTTAAGGACAAAGAGGACCTGACGATTTCCTCATTGCTTCCCATTTCATAAGGATTACCTATGAATTCATTTCTTCACCTTCACCTTTTAGGACCCAATGGTGAGTCAGGGTCTGCAGTGTCTCAAGAATTCTGTTACTTCCACCAGCAACCTCTACACACAGGCCTTGTTAGCTTACACTTTCTCCCTGGCTGGAGAAATGGACGTCAGAAACATGCTTCTCAACAAGTTAGATGAAAAGGCCATCACCTCAGGTACATTGGTCACGTTATAGCAGTTCTTTGGAATTGTGAAAATATGCTGTGAGTTATCAGTCATTTTCCTTGGTGTCCTTTGTCCCACATGTACTCAGTTCTAGTAGTCATTTTGGTAGAAACTGTTAAGTTACAAAAGTCATTGTTGGGAGATTTGTGACAAAGCCCATTTAAGTCCTCAAAGGACATGGTTTTATCATATATATGCATAAATATGTATGATCTTTTTATTATATATCATATGTGTTTGGCAACCGGGTTTGAACTCAGGGCCTCACACTTGCAAGGCAGATGCTCTTACTGCTTGAGTCACCCCGCCAGCCCATTTTGGGGATGGGTTTTTTTTTTTTTGAGATAAGGTCTTAAGGCTAGCTTTAAACTGTGATCCTCCTGATCTCTACTTCCCGAGTAGCTAGGATTAAAGGCATGAGCCACCAGCGCCTGGCTGCTTTAGTTATTCTTAACATAGGGTCTCATGTTTATGCCCAGGCCAGCCTGATCTATGATCCTTCTACTTACACTTCCCATGTAGCTGGGATGACAGGCATGCACCAACATACCCTACTTTTTATTGGTTGAGATGGGGTCTCGTGAACTTTCTAGCATGGGATGATCTCAAACCTTGATTCTCCTGATCTCTACCTTTTGAGTAGCTAGGATTACAGGCCTGAACCACTATACCTGGCTATATTGTTATATTTTAACAGGAAGAGAACTAGGTGATAGAAACTGGCCAGGAAGATTCATTGGCTTTGTTGATTATCTTTGAAGGTTCTTCAGTGTGAGATTACTTTGGATGTATTTATAGTACTATTTGAAGTTATAACAGATCTTATAAGTAAAATATTAGTGTATTTTATTTATCTAACTGTATATGTAAAATAAGACTTCCAGGCAGAAATTCAATCTCAGCTTCCATCTGCATGAATGTCATTGCTGAGTTACCCTCTCACTGCTCAGGGAAGATTTTGTGTTGTGTGTAAGCAATGTAGTCACGGGAAGGGTCCTACACAGAGGCTGGTATACACCTGTCCTGCTGTGTGTTGACTTACTGTGATGATCTTTTTCTTGTCTGTTGTCTTGCATTGTTGGCTCACATGTTTTCCACTATTTTCTTCCAACTAGAGTTCCTCCTGTAAGCTGTCTATTTCTGCTGAATGCTTCTTCTTCTTTCTTCTTCTTTTTTTTTGGTGGGACTGGGGTTTGAACTAAGGACTTCATGCTTGCAAAGCAGGCACTCTACTCCTTGAGCCACGCCTCCAGCCCCTGAATGCTTCTAAATTACACTTCTGACTTTCACTCCTCTTGTTTCCATTTGTTCTTCTGTTTCTTCAAGCCATCTGTCACCCAGCTGTCACTGAGATTTGTTTTGGTCTCATGTTCCATCTGATTGCCTTCTCAGTATATTTTCTCTGATTACTCTCATTAGCATATCCTCTTGATTTCTTAGTGTTCTTATGTATGTTTTGCCATTTTTTTCTTAAAATGATTAAGTGAAGTAAATGGTGAAAAATTAAGAAAATTCTGTATGACACACACACAAAAAAATGCTGCCAAAAACAAGAAGATTTTTCTTACTTATTTCCATTAACATCAGAATCTGTAAATTAACAAAGGTGGTTTTCATTTCATTTCCGGAGTCAAGAACATTTATAGATGCTGTAGCTTTACCTTAGAGAGTTTTGTGTGATTGTTCACACACACACACACACACACACACACACACACACACACACACACATACACATACACATACACACACAACTGCATTTGCCAATTGATCAGCTGGCTCTGAGAAATATTTTTATTCTCTACTCTAAGTTACAGCATTTACAAAGTGAAACTGGGAAAAATCAGTTCCTTCCCAAACCTTACCACTGATACCTCCTTCTCCATAGGAGAATCCATTCACTGGAGCCAGAAACCTACGCAGTCACCGAATGCTAGTCCATGGTCTCAGCCTGAGGCTCTGGATGTGGAACTTACAGCATATGTGTTGTTGGCTCAGCTTACCAAGGACAGGTTCACTCAAAAGGAGGTAGCCAAGGCCACTGCCATAGTGGCCTGGTTGGCTAAGCAGCGCAATGCCTATGGAGGTTTCTCTTCCACTCAGGTAAGGAGTTTGCTCTCCTACTGCCACTCATCAAGTAAGCTTAGATCCTGTGCAGAGGTAGGGAAAGAAATACCTTCCTTTCCCTCTAGGCCCGTACAAGTCTATGAAAAAGGAGAAAAATCATATGAAAATTGTAGAGAATTACTAATAAAATTGGGTCATAAAAGAGTAAAATATATTGAATTGCATTTCAAGAAGGAAAAAGAGCTCACATCAGCTTGAGGGCTAAGAGCTCTCTCTCCCTCCCTCTCTCTTTTTTTTTTTTCAGTGCTGGGGATCAGACCCAGGGTTTTGAACATGCTAGACAAGTGCTCTACCACTGAACTGCACCTCCAGTCCAGCAATAAGAAAAGTCTTCACAAGGGCTGGGGGTGTGGCTCAAGTGGTAGAGCACCTTGCCTGGCAAGCACAAGGCCCTGAGTTCAAACCCCAGTATCACCAAAAAAAGGAAAAAAGAAAAGTCGTCACAAGGGAGTAGTATTTGAGGGAGATCTAAAAAGACATGTAAAATTTTGGTAGGCAGTTATTAAGAGGAGGAGGAAATGGTGTGACCAGAGATGTCAATTTATAGTAGTATTAAATAACCTGGAAAAACTGGAAATATGGGGTAAGTTCATTCATATTATAGAGGATCTTATACATCAGCCTGGAGTTTGTACCTAATCCCAAGGACCTACTAATTTAGAAGAGCGAGTCCCAGGACTTGAAGAAGTCAGGAGACTTTCTTTCGTCTAGGTCAGGAGAAACTGAATTAGTGGGATAGCAGCAGAAACAAAAAGGAAGGTAAGGTTATATGACAAGTTCATGCTTTTTTCTTTTTTTGCAGTGTTAGTGATCAAACCCAGAGTCTTGTGCTTGATAGGCAGGCGCCGTACTGCTTGAGCCACACCTCCAGATAGAGGACAAGTTCAAATGGCACCGTAGGGCTGAGGGTGTAGCTCAGTGGTACAGTGCTTGCTGAGCATGGGCGGGGCCTTGGATTCAATACACACACACACACACAATTATTTTATTTATTTATTTATTTACTGCAGTTCTGGAGGTTGAACTCAGAGCCCACATCTTGAGCCACTCCACCAGCCCTTTTTTTTTTTTGTGAAGGAGTTTTTTCAAGATAGGGTGTCTCGGAACTATTTGCCCGGGCTGGCTTTGAACTGTAATCCTCCTGATCTCTGCCTCCTGAGTAGCTAGAATTACAAGCGTGAGCCACTGGTGCCCAGCTCAATTATTTCAGATTATTATAAAAAACTACTCATGAGTACATTTGTTCTGAAAATATTATTGAATATCTAACATGTTCAAATGATTTCAGTGAGAAAATAGAAGTATATAAGAAAACAATTCTTATCCTCATGGAAATTATAACTTGACTGTTGAAATCAAAGAAAGACAGTTTTGCTGAAGATATAGCATGCAAACTAGATCTGAAAGCATGAACAGCCTTTAGTAAGTGGACTGTTTGATAAAGTTGTTAAGAGCACTGAATTTAAATACGAGAAAGACACTGGATTTTTAAACATGATAAGGTACTATGCCTTCCTATTTCAGGGGAAAATTTTTTTTAATTAAAAATTTGGGGGGAGGCGGTGCTGGCTAATTGGCTCAAGTGGTAGAGCACCTGTCTAGCAATGGTGAGGCCCTCAGTACAAACCCCAGTTCTGCCAAAAAAAAAAAACGTTGGGGAGCGGGGGCGGTGAGGATGCTGGAGACCAAAGCCAGGGCCTTGTGTGCTGAGCACATGATTTGCCAATGAGCTACTCACTAGTCTGTCAAGGAGATTATTGATTAGGAAAGAGTCCCTTGTTACTCGGCCCTAAGCAATTATAATTGATAAAAATATTTCTCACAAGCAGTGAGTGAAATGTTTAGAACGTTCAAATTTGTTTTTCTATGAAATCCTTGGCTATTACAGGAAGTCACATATTTCACATCACCCACTTCAGGTTTTCAGTCAATGATGAGGTCTCTTTTCTTGAGCTGTTTAATATGTTCAAACACTAAAGATCTCCAACTCTAGAGGGCAGGCAAAGTATTGTAGGCTGTGAAGCTGCACAGATAAAACTTGTTCATGACTTTTTTACATTGAGTGACCTGTCTTCCTCATTTATAGGACAATGTGATGTCTAAATATGAACGTTCTTTTTTTTTTAATGTGGGATCAAAGTAGGGTTCTTTTATTCTGTAGTAGATATTTTCCAAAGTGTCAAGCATGTAGAAAAGTCTCATAACATAGACAAGATATAACAATTTCGCTTAATCCTCATTTTCTTTCTCTTAGTTATAATTTATACAAATCATGTTTTCAGTATGAAAAATTTCAAACTACACAATATCATGATCTCTTGGGGTAGTTTGTCTTCTTCAAAGATGAGAAAAGATTGTCACATGCCACAATGGCTAAGAAACCCTGATCCCTTCTCTATTTTTGACACAGAAGATCATCACACTGTTAAAAAATTTCAGAAGGTGTGAACTTTCTGAGGCTATCAAGTTACTGCTCAAATATGAAAGCTGTAAAATATGTACTGAACAGTAACCACTTCCTTCTAAAAGTAACCTTTGTGATTGGAACACCGGTTTCTCATGCCTGTGTTCCTAGCTACTTGGGAGGTTTGAGATCAGGAGGATTGTGGTTCGAGGCCAACCAGGCAAATATTTTGCAAGACCCCATCTCCAAATTAACAAGAGTAAAATGGAGTGGAGGTGTGCCTCAAATGGTAGAGTGCCTGCTTTGCAAGCATGAAGGCCTGAGTTCAAATACTAGTCCCATCAAATTCACAATAGTAATAATAATAATAGTAACCCTTCTGGAGCTAGGTTTGATTTCTGAGTACAAATTTATTTGATTACACAAGTAACCTATGGTTGTTCAATAATAACTAGTTAATGGTGATTTCCAATACAAGTAAGATGCTCTGATTTCTGTGTCAGCTTCCCCAGAAGAGGTAAATGTGGTTCTTTTGGTACTGGAAGAGGTATCTTCCAAGCCAGTGAACAACACCCAGACCTGTGGGTTCTATGGTTTCCTAAGGCTAATTCCCATGGTTCACAAAACGGTAAGCGGTTGCCTCATTGTTTTCCTCAGGACACTGTAGTTGCTCTCCAAGCTCTTGCCAAATATGCCACTATTGCCTATGTGCCATCTGAGGAAGTCCGCCTGTCTGTGAAATCTGCTGGGAACTTCCTGCATACTTTCACCGTGCAGTCTTCCAACCGACTGGTACTGCAGCAGAAGACTCTGCCTGACATCCCTGGATTGTACACCTTGGAGGCCTCAGGCCAGGGCTGTGTCTATGTGCAGGTCAGCAGCAAGCCATGAGAACAGAGTGCATGGGAAAGGAGAGTTCACACATATTGCCTTTGCCCCGATAGAATCAATCCTTCTCTCCTCTCTCTTTCTTTCTCTCCTCCTTTGTAAGAAAAGTAGTTTGAACTGTAAAGAGTCTCTAAAGTTCTTTCCAGCTCTGACTTGATTGATTACCATCTCTTCCTACCAGACGGTGTTGAGGTACAATGTTTTCCCTCCTAAAAACATGGAGGCCTTTAGTCTTCACGTGGAAGTGGGAGAAGCTAGATGTGAGCAACCTGCTTCACCCCGGTCCTTAACTCTCACTATCCACACCAGGTGAGAAAACCTGGGGCACCTGGGCCATAGCTGCTGCGCTGGTGTGTGTGTGTGTCTGTGTCTGTGGGTGTGCGTGCTAGGAATGCAGAGACAGAGGAGGCTCACACAGCTGCTTCTTCCTGTCCTCAGCTATGTGGGAAGTCGTAGCTCTTCCAATATGGCTATTGTGGAAGTGAAGATGCTGTCTGGGTTCAGTCCCAAGGAGAACACCAAACAGTTGGTAAGTGGCTTCTGTTTTCTTCATTTAACTAGGGGACCTCACATCATTGTCTTTCAAAAAATTTGTGGACATAAGAAGGGGACTAAGGTAGAAAGGAGAAAAATAGAGGAGATGAACCAATTCAGAATATATACATATATATATATATGTCACAAGGAAACTCTATAGCTATCTTAAACAAACAGAAATGTCTTTTTTTTTTTTTTTTTACAAAAAAATGGAGAGCAGGAGAGCAGAACTGCGGGGTTGGTACCAGTGGGAGTGGGGAGGATGTGGGGAGAGGGTGTAGGAGGGTGACTATTGTGCCAATATTGTGTACACATGTATGTAAATGGAAAAATGATACCTGTTGAAACTATTCCAGAAATGGGAGGAAGGGGAATAAAGAGTAATGATGGAAGGGATGAATTCAACTATGATATGTTGTAAGAATTTCTGTAAATGTCACAATGTACCCCCAGTACAATAATTTTTTAAAAAGCTGGTGAAAAAGGCATCACTTGTATGTACATGTGTGTATGTATATGTATATATAAATATATTAATACATACATACACACATGTATATATGCATATGCACACCAACATATACAACTCATAATTGGGTTAGCTAAATGGGCTATGAAGGTATATTAATGATATGAAATAGACCTGTAATAGTCTTGTTGCCTCTTTCTTTCCTTTTTTATTTTTTGCAATACATATTGTTTCCTTGATCATGCCAGAACTTTGAAAGATTACCCTATGGAATAAGGAAAGCCCTGGCTCTGCCTCTTAGTCTTTCATCTTTCTCCCTTTTGGTTTTCTTTTCTTTTTTTTTTTAAACACTTTTTATTAGTGTAGATTAATTGTACAAAATAACGGGTTTCACTGTGACTTTTTCATGCCTGCATATGATGTACCTTGACCACAGTTCACATGTGTATCTGATGTACTTTGGTCATAACCATGCTCCCACTGCCCTCTCTTGTCCCCTACCCTCCTTTTCTTTTCCCTTTCTCTTCAGCTTCTCCAGCAGCCACTGGTGAAGAGGGTTGACTCTGGAGCTGACGTACTTAACATTTACTTGGAAGAGGTTTGTATTCAGAGCTGGACTGAGGAGCTCAATTGCTTAGATACCTTTGTGACTTCCCTTCAAATCGACACACACTAGTGTCACACACAGAGACAAGGGACCTGAGCGAGGGTGTCCATAGCCATGGAATGGGTTCTGTCTCTGTGGAACACTTACTGCTCCTCTAGAGGAGCATAATGTGAGCCATTTATGTCAATTGACATAAAGAAATAAAGAAACAGATGAAATTAATGTTAATAATATATTTTACTCAATTATATGTTTCCCAAATATTTCATTTTTGCCATGTGATGAATACATAAAAGCATTAATGACATATCTACATATTCTTGTGCTACATTTTTGAAAGCCAGTGTATATTTTACACAGTCAGCACATCTCAGTTCTTTCCAGACAATTTCAAGTGCTCAGTGGCCACATACATGATGACAATTCCAGAGCATAAACTAGGAGTGAATAGCAGAAACTGAAACAGAATGCCTGGGCTAAAGTCTTGAGCTCAGCATTGGCTGTGTGACTGTACAAGTTGAGTGTCTCTGTTCTCTCAGCTGGAACATGAGTTACTGATAAAAGAAAAAAAAGTTATCTATGTCATAGAGTTTTTTTTACTCAAAAATTTTTTTCAAAGTGTTGGGAATTGCACCCAGGGCTTCGTGCATGCTAGGCAAGTGTCCTACCACTAAGCTACACCTCAGCCCATAGATCTACTGAAAGAATTAAATGACATAAAGCATGCAAAAATATTTAGAACTGTGCTATTGATATTATCTTAATGCAATATTAAGACTAATTAATATTAATCAGACTTGTATATATCCTTTCATTTCAACAAAGGTAGATGTTCTCAAACACCTGTTATGTTTTAAAATTGATATAATGCACATTTTCATCATATTCTGCTCCACAAGGGAACAAAGACATCCTTATGACATAACCAGTAGATAAGAATATCCCAAATTAAAATTTATCCCGAATGAAATTTGTTGTAACATCCACTGCCAGTCCCCTGCCCACACACCAACCCTTCCATCTAACTGTGATTTCTTATCTTCCAGGGAGACAGAGTGTTTTTTGTTTTGTTTTGCAGTTTGGGCATGAAATCCAGGGCCTCCCACAAGCTAGGCAAGTGCTCTTCCACTGAGCCATACACCCAGCCCTGCTTTCACTTTATTTATTTATTTATTTATTTTTTGGTGGTACTGGAGTTTAAACTCAGGGCCATGTGCTTGCCAGGCTTGCCCGATGCTCTGTCGCTGGAGCTATGCCCTGGTCCTTTGTGTTAGTTCTTTTTCACACAGGATCTTGTTTAATGCCCAGGCTAGCCTGTACTGTGGTTCTGCTACTTATGCTTCCCAAGTAGTTGGGATGATAGGTGAACCCCACCATGTTCAGCTTTTTATTGGTTGAGATGGAGTTTTGTAAACTTTTTGGCCAGCTGGCCTCAAACCTCGGTCCTCTTAATTTCTACCTCCCAAGTAGCTAGGATTTTAGGCATTAGTCACTGTGTCTAGCTTTGCCTTAGTTCTCATGTGCTGTTTCACTTGTCTTCCCTATAGCTCAGTAACAAGACTCAGACATATACTTTTACCATCATCCAAAGTGTGTTGGTCACTAACCTGAAGCCAGCAACCATCAAAGTCTATGACTACTACCTGCTAGGTGAGTGCTGAGAACCTATCTGCACCTATTTCTTTTGTTGTTGTTTTTGAAGTCTCATTATGTATTCCAGACTGGCTTTACACTCTCAATCCTCCTGCCTCAGCTTCTTGAATGCTGGAATTATAGGTAGACACTTCCATAGCAGGTTTCTCCCAACATATTTCTGCCTCATTCTTCATGGTCTGCCTCTTAATTTTATAAACATTCCTTCCAAAGATAAGTAGCATGTAATTTTATTACCTGAACTCCTAAAACATTTTTAATTAGTCTTTTAGAGAATATGCGCTAGGCTGTTCTCAAGGACCTGGATACTCCTTTTTTTTTTTTTTTCTGCTGTGATTAAGAATTTACTACACAATGCAAATATTAGTGCTTGAAGCCTTCTTGTTCCTCTGAATATGCTCAGGACTTCTGCAAAAGATAAAAAACAATAGCTTTTGTGAGTGTTTTCTCTCTGGACATATATCACCCTTTATGTAACAATGTGTCTTGTTTCACAGATGAGCAAGCAACAATTCAGTATTCTGATCCCTGTGAATGAGGTAGGTCAGCAGGGAAGAGTAGACTTTGGGGGTAGGGTGGTAGCATTCAGAACATAAGAAGACATTCTGTTCACCCTCTGTGTGTGTGTGTGTGGTGCTGAGAAAAGAACCCTCTTTTGAGTTACTGTTACTGTGTTTTGGAAATTTATTTTTGGTGTAAACTCTTCTTTGGGGAAGAAGCTGGATGGTTGAAACAGGGATTTACTATGTGACTCAGGCTGGTCTCAAACTCAGGATTCTTCTTTCTCAGCCTCTGGAGTGCTGGGATTGAAGGTATGAACTACCATGCCTGGCATTGTCCTGAAGTCTTGAAGAGAGAAAAATATCTCCTTAGTTCATATTAGAAAAAACTAATAGTGGCATTTGTGTGATGGTTTCTTTTTTTGTGTGTGTGTGATTTTTAAAAACATTATCTATATATATGGGGGGGGAGAGAGAGAGGTATATTAGGTATCCTGACATCTGTCATAGGAGAAAGTTCCTCTGTTGATGTAAAGACCTTCTGAGTCTCATGCTGTTTTCCTTCTTTTTGTTTGTTGGCTTGGTTTTCAGGGAAGAATCTGGAAAGAGACTAAACTGATCCTCTATGACACTGCTGGCGAGTAGACCATTTTTCTGTCTCTTGAAGCAGAATTTAATCAATCACATCGCTTGATTCTCGATTGACTGGTGGATGGGTGACATGAAGTCTACTACTTTCACAGGGAGGTGGGATAGGAATAATCTCACACAGGTGGCCTCACATGGGGAGGACTGTAGTGCAAGAGAAGTGGTTTAGCCATTCGGGGAACGCTGAAGAGAGGGGTGGTGGGGGCAGTGTTGCAGGAAAGAGAAGAATGTCTTCTGGGAGGATAAATCTAGGGAAGATAGGATTTAGGACTTTGAGAATAGGATAAAAAAATAAACTTTGAAAAGCATACTGTGTATCTAGTTCTGGTGCATATTTCTTTGAATACCAAAGTTTTTTTCTTTCTTTTTTGGTTGTACTGGGGTTTGAATTCAAAGCCTTGTGCTTGGTATGTAGGTGCTCTACCACATGAGTCATGGCCCACCACACATTTTTCTTTCTTTCTTTCTTTTTTTTTTTGCTTTAGCTATTTTCAGGTACAGTTGCATTTTTGCACCAGGGTTGTCCTCAGATCTTGGTCCTCCCACCTACAGCCTACCTTGGATCCCAGGCATACTACACCATGCTCAGCTTACTGACTGAGAGGAGTCACTAATGTTTTGCCTGGGCTGACCTCAAACCATGATTCTCCCAATATCTGCCTCCCAAGTAGCTGGGATTACAGGTCTGAACCACCATGCTTACCATGCCCCCAAAGTTTCTTTTTTTCTTTTTTGGCAGTACTAGTATTTGAACTCAGGGTCTTGCACATGCTAGATAGGTGCTATACCACTTGAGCCTCTCCCCTAACCCCAAAGTTTCTTTTCAAGGTAGTGATCATTCTTCAACATAAACTCAGAATTTGAGCCAGGCACTCGTGGCTCATGCCTGTAATCCTAGCTACTCAGGAGACAGAGATCAGGAAGATTATGGTTCCAAGCCACCCCTGGCAAATAGTTCACAAGACCCTATCTTGAAAATACCCAACATAGAAAAGGGCTGGCAGAGTGGCTGAAGTGGTAGAACACCTGTTTAGCAAACATGAGGCCCTGAGTTCAAACCCCAGTACCAAAACAAAAACAAAAACAAAATCTCAGAGTTTGGCTTCTTCCTTAAACCTTTTGACCAAAACTTCTCAAAGCATCATGGGAACGATGCCAAGAGGCATCAGAGTACAGAACTGTAATTAAGGGGCTGTGTTCTGGATGGGGTGTAGCTCAGCGCTAGAGTGCTTGCCCAGCCTGCCCAAGGCCTTGGGTTCCATGCCATCATCTAAAATAAAACAAACAGGCCACAAGGGCTGTGTTCTGCAAGCCCACTACTGCTAGACAAACAGCGGTGAGCTACAGGAACAGTGGCCGGCCAGGATTCCTTCTCCATAGACATTTTTCTCTTCCATGGTTCTCCCAGCCTTTTCCCACTGGAGTATCATTGTGTAAGCTCTTTGCTGGGGGAATAGATTTGGAGGCAAAGTGATAAGGGGAACAAGACAGTGATGCACAAACAGAGAAAATTCTCCAGGCAATTACACCCCTTATTTGAATATTCACTATATAGGATGCATGCTCCTTGATTGGAAACTGACTAAAAGAGTCAGGGGAAAGTAACTGCATACTGAAGAGAACATTTCCCTAAGCCCAGGACCACATTCACAGGAACCGTTCTGTGTCCCTTCCTCTCCAGTCTGTCTAGGGATTTCCAGGTTGTGGGAAGATGGGCAGCACCCAACAGGTCAACTTCAAACCTGCATTACCCTTTAGGTATATAGGGCAGAGAACAGAGGGAGTGCTAAAAAAAAAGAAAAGAAAAGAAAAGAAAAGGGAGGTCCTGAAAACTCCTCCCATTCACTGGAAGCTCCACCCCCATATGTTTTTTTTAAGGTCAGGTAGTAAGCCTCAAAACTTAAGTTAAATGACTGCTGAGATGTAGCTCAGATGTAGAGCACTTGCACAGCATGCACAAGGTCCAGCACAAAACAAGCAAAGCAAAACAAAACAAAACAACTGAGCTGGTGGAGTGGCTCAAGGTGTAGGCCCTAAGCTCAAACTCCAGCACTGGAAAAAACAAAAAATTTTTTTTTGCAGTAATATTATTGGACACGGGTCACACACTAAGAGGAGACTGTGCACAGGAGGAATAGGGAAAGGGAAGGAAACCTAAAACTTGAATATGGTTGATGTGCACACTGTATGGGAGCAAATATGGTAATCTTAAACTGGCAGAGGCCACTATGGGAAGGGAACTAGGAAGTAGTGAAGAGGCCTGGTAGAGGTGAACCAATGTGGGTTGCAATACATGTATGCATGGAAAAAACCACAGGGAATCTCTTTGTTTAGCTATCTTCATCTCAAACTAGCAAAAACGCTATGTTTTTCTTTTTATCTTATATGTTCTCCTTTTAACAAAATCAGAGAACAAGAGGGTGGAACAGGTTCTCCCTGAGGGGGGAAGTGGAGAGAGTGGGTGGGTGGGTGTGGGGGGAGGGTGTGGGTGGGTGTTGGGGGCAGAGGTGGCCCAAACAATGTATATACATGTAAGTAAATATAAAAACAATAAAATAAAATTTTAAAAAAGAATACATTTTAAATGGTTAGAAAAACTCTTCATTCTTGTATCCTTGGGTTTTCCAATATAGTGTCTGAGGCATGGCTCATGTGGTAGGAGGCCCTGGGTTCAATCTCCAGTATTTAAAAAATATAGAGACACATCAGGTTGCAACAGATTATAAATTTTCATGCAGTTGATCATGGTATGGTATTTTGAACCAAGTTAAAAAACATCTCCAAAAAAAATCTAATAATAAATAAAATGCATATACCAAGAAGGTGATTAGAAACAAGCCAGTTTAATCTTCAAAATAAGGGTATTACAAAATTAAACTGAGAGCCCTCAGATTTTTTATTTTTATTAGTGTATATTAATTGTATAAACTAAGGGGTTTCCTTATGACATTTCCATACATGTGTATAATGTACCTTGATCATATTCATCCCCTCTATCACTTTCTTCTCCCCCACCCTTTCCATTTTTACTCTCCACACACCTACTAGTGCTCCTTTTACTTTCTTGTCTTTTTTGCCCCCACGGGCTTATTTCACTTAACATGATGACCTCCAGTTCCACCCACTTCCCAGCAAGTGACATAATTTCATTCTCTTTTATGGCTGAATAAAGCTTCATCATGTATATAAGCCACATTTTCTTTATCCATTCATCTGTTGATGAACACCAAGCCTGGTTCCATATCTTGGCCATTGTGAATAGTTCAGCAATAAACATGAATGTGTTTATATGCTGACTCTATTATATGCTGACTTAATTCTTCTTATCCAGAAGTGGTATAGCTAGATAATATAGTAGTTATAATTTTTTAGGGCTCTCCACACTGATTTCCATAGTGGCTACCCTAATTTACATTCCTATCAATAGAGTTTAAAGGATCTTCCCCATACCACATCCTCACCAGCATTTATTACTTTTTTTCTTGGTGACAACTATTCAGACTGATGTGAGGTGGAATCTCAATGTAGTTTTGATTTACATTTCCCTGATAGCTGAAGATGTTGAACAATTTTTCATGTGTTTATTGGCCATTTGTATTTCCTCTTTGGAGAGAAAACTATTCAAAAAATTTGCCAACTTATTGATTGAAGTACTTGTTCTTTTGATATTTAATCTTTTGAGTTCTTAATGTATACTCTGGATATTAATCCTCTGTTAGATGAATACATAGCAAAGATTCTGTGCACTGTCTTTTACTCTGTTGATTGTTTCTTTGCTGTGCAAAAGCTTGTCAATTTGATGCAATGCCATTTGTCAATTCTTGCTTTTATTTTCTGAGCTACTGGAGTTCTGTTCAGAAAGTCCTTGCCTCTGTCTACATCTTGAAGTGTTTCTCCCATGTTTTCCTCTAGTAGTCCCAAAGTTTCAAGTCTTCATCAAAGTCTTTGATCCATTTTAAGTTGTTTTTTATACAGGTGAGAGATAAGGATCTAGTTTCAGTCTTCTACACATGGATATCTAGTTTTCTCAGCACCACTTGTTAGAGATTGCTTTTTTTCCAATGTATGGTTTTGACACCTTTGTCAAGAATCAGAAGGCTGTAGCTGCATGGGCTTATTTTGGGATCTTCTATTCTACTCCATTGGTCTACATGTCTGTTTTTATATCATGCTGTTTTTATTCCTATGACTTTATAGAACAGCTTGAAGTCAGATATTGTGATACCCCCACCATTGCTGTAGAAAAGAGTATTCTTACAGTTTCAATTATCAAATTCCCTGAATTGAGAGATGTTAGTGAGAAAATATGCATTGTTCAGCACATGAAAGAAAGAAACTTTTGTGTGTATTTGAGAAGCAAGAAGTGAGGTGGTTGTAAAGGTTCAGTGACATTTAGCATTAAAATGACATTAGTATAGTAGCACTTGTAATAAGTACTCAATACATACATTACTATGTGGCAGGTAGTGTACCAGGCTTGGAAATACAAAGACAAAGAAAATGAAGTTTCTATTCTCAAGGTGTGCAAAGATGAAACAATCAAATTAAGTCACAACACACAATAACAAAATCTAATGACAGAAGAAAATACAAAGAGCTAGGGAAATATAAGGTAGAGACATCTTTCCAGATGCAGGGGGAAGGGAGGTCAGCAAAGTCTTTGGGTTTGATACCTATGGGTTGATACCTTTGCTGGGTGAACAGTAGTCAGAAAATGAAAAAAGCATGTTTGTGCAGACTTGGTGAAGGACAAGAGTGGGAAAAAGAATGGTATCTCATCCAGACAGTTCAGTGTGCTCATGGACAGTGTGTTTTGTGTCTCACAAGTTAGGTTGGGGGAGTAGAGAGATTATCATTCTAGCTACAGTGTGAAGAATGGGGTAGAAAAGAGGACAGCTGAACCCTTAAAGTCATTTTACAGTAACTGGTAAAAGCCTGATAAACTGGCAGTGGAGATGATGAGGGGAGACATGCAGCAGTTACTCAGCTTAGGAGGTAGAATCGGGAAACCCATGTTAGTCTTTTCATTGTTGTGGCAAAATAACTGACACAAGCAACCTAAAGGAGGAATTATATCTTTTGGCTTATGGTGTCTGGCGTTTCTTAATTGCTTTTAGCTCGTAGTCCTTGACTACACTGGTTCTGGGCAGTGGGAGCATGTGCCCACTTAGGGGTTGCTCATGTTATGCTGAACAGGAAACACATACACACATGTGCATGCACACACACACTGATAGAACAACAATGTCTCCATTTATAAATTGGTGGCCATTTTATCCTCAGGCCTCACTTGAGAAACTTCCAAGTACAGCCCCACCCTTAAGCAAATTCCCATGCTCTAAGACAGCCCCACCCCTACCAGAGACTACTACACATGCACTAACTTCCTTAACCTCCCCCTTCTATAAAAGCCACACCTGGCCCAGAATCGCTGCTGCGCATCTTTTCCCTGGCCAGCCTGGCAGTTTGGGCCTGCCATTAAACTTTGCTCTATGGATGTGAGACTTTTCTTGTGAGCTTTCTTTATGAGCAGCGTTTTTCCTAACATTTGGTGCCGTGACTCGGATCGGGGTGCACTCCCAGCACTGACCTTGCTCTCCCGGCCTCCCCCACCCCATCCCACTCTTTCTCTCAACTTCCATTCCCTTCCTCTGGGATCTGAGCTGCTTTACTGGGATCCCCGATCCTAGAAAATGCCGCTCCCTCATTAGCTCACAGGAAATTTCCTCCACCCCAGCGTGCTTCCAATTGCCATCCACCACCAACCAATCTTCCCTCAAGGTCCTCTCTCTTGGTGAGTCCTCCTCACATGCAGAGCTGTGATCTCTCTCATGTCCTCGAAATCCTAGCACTAGGTCTCGGCTCACTCCCATCCCTGGGAACCAGGTTCCCCACTAGGGACTGTGGACCCCCGTGGTGAAGACATTCCTTCTGGGTGCTCCACATCTACTCTCTCTCTCCTGAGGACCTGATATTTTGGGGACATCTGCCATATCTTTCCTCAGGTCAGGCCTCACCATGGGGGTTGGACCGTCCCAAATTCCCTCAGACTCCCCATTGGGATGTCTTCTGGCCAATCTTGGGCCCCTCTGCCTAACACCTGATCTTAAGCCACAAAAGCTCATTTTTCTCTGTAATCAGGCCTGGCCCCAATATCCATTAGACAATGCCTCCAAATGGTCACTTAATGGTACTTTCAATCCCAATATTTTAAGGGATTTATACAATTTCTGTGGGTGTGCTGGTAAATGGAAGGAAATACCCTATGCCCAATCTTTTTCCTATTTCTGCACTAAACCCTCCCTCTGTACTTCCTGTTCCCCTGCGCAGATTTTATTAGTCTCTAAACCAGTTTGTTAATCAACCAAATCCTCTTCCGAACCCCCTCCTGACTCTGAAACTTTCCCTTCTTTCGACTCTGCTAATGAACCTCCGACTTATAAGAGACGAGCTTCCATTGTTCAACCGTCGCCCCCGCCCCTCCTTCCACCCTATTACCAAACCAATGTGACCAGAGAATGGAGGTTTCATGTTGCTGAAAGTGTTCCAGTACCAGTCAATGGGAGTGACCTAGAGGCACAAGTGATGGATAATCCCTTAAGCCTGTGTCCTGCCTCCAGGCTCTGCCTTCTCCCTTACCTAAGATGTCAGGACACCTTTTCTGCTTCCTCCATGGTCTCACCACATGTCCTTTGTCTCTGTCTGCCTTCCCCTCCCTGGGCTTACTGGGACCCTGCCTCCCATGAAAAACATATAGCACAGTACCTTATGACTTAAGTTATCCCCAACTAGTTTGCCAGGCCTCTCAGTCTAAGGTAACTTTAAATTAGCAGCTTTACAAAAAATCTACAGCTACCACGCTAACACCCTAACTCTGCCCCACAAGGGAGGAGGGAAAGCAAATAGGTGCTCGTGCACAGTGGAAACGCCTGCCATAGCTAAGAGAATCCATAGGCCAACCCAGCAGACATCCTAGGCTGCCAGCTGCACATAGTGGTGGCTGCAGCCCCCAGCCACTTCCCCTAGAATAAACGCGCATAGAGTACACAGGAGGGGGGAGGGGCAATAAGCCACAGGATCAGGTCTAGACAGGCTCTCTTGTTCCAGGTGTATGTGGAGGGAGTGGTGCCTTACACAAGCCCTGCTCCTAGCCTCACCTCACACCTCGGGGCACCAGACCCAGCCCTTGTAAGCCAATTGTTAGCTCAAGGTTATAGTCCCAGAAATAGCACATTACTGTGGTCTCTAAACTTCTCATTTAAAACTTTCTATACTTTTGGCCTCAACATAAATTTTTCCCTCCAAATATTAGCACTAATTGTCCCATATGGTACTGTTATTGGCCCAGGATGCCCTCTGAATGCCCTTCTCTAACTTTACAGGCAACTTATTCCTTTGTTAAAAAGTAGACTTTATTAAAGAGGCTGCCTGCTGTTAGCTAAAAGACAGGATCCTAATGCTTTGTTCTTTCTAGATGGGATCTGCACCCTCCAGTCTTCTGGCTTGTAGATGTTAAAAGCTTTGTACTGAGGCCTGGCCTCAATATGCCTTGGGTGACCAAGAGAAGTGGCCTTCACAAGGTTTCTTAAATTACAATACCATAATCCAATTAGACCTTTTCTATAAAAGTAAAAAAAAGTGAACTGAGATCCCCTATACAAATTTCTACCTTCTAAGACACCCCAATACTCAGAACCTCCTAATGAGTGCTTCCCCCTTCAACAGGTAATGGTAGGAAGAGGGTGAGTCTATGTCCCCTTCCAGCTATCAGCTCTAAGGGAAATTAAAAAACATCTAAACAGCTGTACTGATGTCCAGACAAATACATTCAAGCCTTTATCTCTGTAATCCAAACCTTTGAAAGGCATGAAAGGATATTATGCTTCTACTAGACCAGACTCTTTCCTCATTAGAAATGCAATGGGTTCTGGCCCAGGCCACTCAGGTTGGAAATGGTTAACATTTACAATGAGCCCCAATACTAGTGGCACCTGGAAATGAGGGAATAAATGTGCCTACCTACAGGGGCACAGGCAGTCTCCTTGCCAGATCCACACCAAAAGGGACTGGTGATATGGCTCAAGCACTAGAGCGCCAGTTTGCAGACATAAAGCCCTGAGTTCAAATCCAGTACAGCCAAAGACAAAAAAAGATATTTGGGGCTGAGGAAGCAGCTCAGTGGGAGAATGTCTGCCCAGCATGTGCAAAGCCCTGGGTTCAATTCCCCAGCATTGCTAAATCAAAAAAAAAAAAATGGTGAGGAGGATAAGTGGCATTAATGTCACTTCAGCCATCTCATAGTGGAAGAAAGTAGTTTAACCTAGACCAAATCCCTCATTCCTCAAGTGAGGAAACTGAAGCCCAGAATGGTTCAGAGACCTGTTCTCCAGAGTGTCAGGTGTCAATGTAAAATAACAACTTTACTTTACAGCCATATCCTAAAGAAAATCCCCTTATCTTTCTGCAGCATCTTAAGGATGCTATCAGAAAGCATACCACAGTGGACCCAGAGTCACAGGTGAGAGAGGTTCTCCTCAAAGATAAATTTCTAACAGTCATAAAAAACTCAGTCTGTGGCTTAAGGAGAAAAGTCATTGGATCAACTAATACAACTAGCTATGTCTGTACACTATAACCAGGACATTACTAACAGAGAGAAAGGTAAGACATCGTTGCTGCTCCCACCCAACTGGGGCCTACATCTCGAGTTTGCTAACATGGTGGACAGGAGGGGCACTTCTGCAGAGAATGCTTAAGGTGGGACAGCCCGGGAGTCAGCCCTGCCCCCAACCAGGACCCTGCCCTCTCAGCAAAGGTAACCACTGGAGGTTTAAGTGCCCTCATCTCCAGATGGAAGGTGAGGTGCCACCTCCTATGGATTGATGGGTCCCAGCCTCCTGTCCATGCTCCACTTCTTGGCATCGATGTTGAAAAGCCTCATGGTAAACATTATGACAAAAAAAAAGTTCATTTTCCTCCTAGACAGTGGAGTCTGTTTCTCTGTTTTACCTTTTTCTCCAGGTCCCTGGTCCAATGACAAAAGTTATCATTCGGGGCAAATCTGGCCAGCCCCTAGAGTGCTATTTTACCCGGCCTCTGGCCTGCTCTTTGGGAGACCTCCTCTTCTGTCACTCTTTCCTCATAGTACCTAAAACTTCAATGTCCCTGCTGGGACAGGATTTACTATCTCAACTAAAAACTCAAATTCTCCTCCCCACCTGCAGCTATCTCTGCTGCCCCCTCCTTCAGAAACAAATAGATTCCACAATGTGGACTGATGAGATGAGTGTAGGGTGAGCCTGGATGGCCCTCCCTATTCAAATAAAACTCAAAAATCCCTCATAGTTTCCATTACCAAAACAATATCCCCTCAAGCCCCTCTGAGGAACATAAGGTCTTATGCCTATCATAAATTCCTTAAAACACCAAGGGCTACTAATTAGTTGCCCCAGCCCCTATAATAAATTTTAAATTCTTATAAAAGTTAATTTTAAAATACAATTTACAAAGTAAACAACTGGAAAGGATATAGATAGGTAGTGAATGTATTTTTTGAGAAGTTAAAGAAAAAAGGAATGTTTTTGGATGAGAAAGGATTTTGTAAAGAAGGGTTTGTCCTAAAGATTGTTTCAAATAGGAGGGATAAGGACAAACCATAAAAGGGTTTAGAATGTTTTATAAAGGTCTAAGTAAGTTTTAAAAGTGTATAATAAAAAGCTTTGGTGTGTAATAAAGTTAAAGTTGAGTATAATCTAAGAGTTGCCTAAAAGATTTTTAGGGTCATCTCAAACTAAAATCAAATCCTCTATGTCTATAAAATAACAAGGTTATCTTAATATTGTTCTGCTCTGAGTAACATCTACAAAAAACCATTACAGAGAAAGATTTTATCAAAGA